TAGGAGGTCCCAGCGACGCATAACAAGCATGATGAAGATAATTAAAACAAAAAAAATAATAGTTTGTAATAAAATTAAAGAATCTAGCGTACAGGATTGCGAATTCTATGCGGCGTATGATGATAATGATTAGGACAAAACAATAAGTGTTTGTTTTGAAATTTAAGAAATGTAAAGGACTTAGGCGACTTTTGATGATTAAAACAAAATAATAATTGTTTGTTTTGAAATTAAAGAATCATATAGGACGAAACCCCATGCGAAGCATGATGACGAAAACAAAACAATAATTGTTTGTAAATTAAACTATGTTTCATACATGAATGAATACTGAACATTCTATGCACGATGATTAAAACAGAACAGTAATTGTAAATAAAAAATACTTGATGCAATGTATTAAAAAATATTTTTATAGAAAATGTATGAGCGTAGCTGAAGTTAGAAACACTGAATATCCAATAAAAACTGTTCAAAGTTGAATTAAGAATCGACATCACAGCACTCGAGTGCTCCGTCCCTATCACAGATGAGTATCATTTATTTTTAACATTAGAGTCCTATGTAGTCACTTCATAGTTAGAGCATATTTTAATACATTGCATCAAGTATTTTTTATTTACAATTACTGTTCTGTTTTAATCATCGTGCATAGAATGTTCAGTATTCATTCATGTATGAAACATAGTTTAATTTACGTATTGTCCTTTATGTGCTAACGTCCTTTGTTTGTTTATTGTGATCGATTTTGTAAAGCTAACAATAGTTTTTAAAAGAAATAGAAAATTATAAGGAAGAGAAAAAGTTTCTAACTTTTTCTCTTCCTTATAATTTTCTATTTCTTTTAAAAACTATCTTCAACAGCAAAAGAAACAGTTCCAAGTGTTTATGAGTGCATATCCTATATAAAGAAAGCTTATTTGAAGAAAACAAAAATACAATAAGGCCCTAACAGCGAAAAGAAAGGCAGACTACCACGTGTAGTGCCTCACATGGAGCGACATAAATCAAATTGGTTTCTGAATGCGAACTTCCCCGTTACGCGAAATAGAGAGAAGCCCTAACAGAAATAACCCCATGGCCGCCGAGCCGTGCAAACTCTACGACCAGTTAATTTTGAACAGAGACTCGACCGTGCGACCCCGGCGGGGTGCAGCGGGAGCTCAGCTAAGAATGGTGTGGTGGAAACAACCAATCTAGACAGATCAAGCCGTAGAGGATCATAGCGATCAATGTCAGACGTGTCTCCTGACACACGCTCCATGGTATACACTGTTTCAGCTCGTTATGTAGTGCCAGGGTGGGTCGGTTTGCTTGAGATAGGTGACGGATAATTTACATGCCGGATAATTTCACACTAAAATATCAATGTATAATCAATTACTTTTAAAATATATGAAATTTAGTTTATATGTCAAATATTTACTAAATAATATGCCACAAATTATTTGACTTTTGTCAACTCTTTCATGTTTTAATTTATGATTTTTATGTTTTATCTACAAATTTTTAAATTTATTTCCCTTAGTAAATAATCAAGGGATATAATGCAAACAGAGAGTTAACCTGGTTGTCTTTCTTAATGTAAGTTGGGTAAAGAATCGACATACGCGATCCGTCCTCTTCGTCAGCAGCCAGCGAAGACATCCATTTTCGAAGTTAGCAGTATATGTTTGATTATATGAGTTACGTCTCTTATTAGACCCCCCGCCAGACCACTCCTCATAGATCGGAAGCACAACGAGAAAACTACAATAACTATATGAAACCCATGAAATGACATTATATGATAGTAACCCATGTTATCACTAAAAAAAATTACGCACTAAGTAGTTAAATAAATTTATAACAAAAGCTACAGAGGAGAACAGACGAGAAATTATATTCTGAATGCTCTACGAGAAGTAGGACGTTGGCGAAAATCAAGTGATGATTGTGAATCTGCAACCATGACCAGACTGCAAGAACATGTTAAAATGGGTGTGGCCAGACAAGAGCACTATACGGAAAGCCAAAAAAGAATAAGAAACCAACACAGAACTGGAGTCGGAGCCGCTACACGCTGCGGGATTTACTAAAGAGGGGATCCAAGCAATTATGGACTGAATGGTTCGATGTGCAATGACGATAATCTGTTGAGTAGTTTATTAATTAATTAATTAAAACGGGAGGAGCCTCACGGCGTTATATAGCTTAGAGAATGACAATTCTGAATCCGGCCGGTTCATGACATAATATATTCACTGGTAACTTATGTTCTTGTTGTGCAGCACATTTTAATCCTTTCATCTAGTTCTCTAGTGCTATCTTATGGGGGGGGGGGGGGGGAATACTGCACACAAATGTGTCTCCTGCAATACTCAAATTAGCCACTCCAAGTTGCAGTCCTATTAATTCTCATTACAAGGGATTTCTAGTTCAATAATTATTTGACATTTTTTAGCCGCACCTTTAAACAATGTATAGGGATGTGTTCTTTTGTTTTAAATTACTTCCATATTCTTTAATATTCCTCGCAAGCGAATGAAGTAAATAATGTCCAATATTATGTTACTGACATTCAGAACAGGTGGACATAGAAGCCTATGTATATAAATTCTTGCGACCCCATCACCTAGCTCCTGTCCTTATGTCTAGCGAAAAAGCCTTCCTTAAATGATCATTTATCGTGCATGTAGTTAGGACTTATTACTAATAATATTAGAGCTTATCATTTCAGGTAGGGCTTTAGCTTTAGACGAATTTAGGCTACAGTCAGACAATAAAATTAATACCATCGGAATTTGAACTCTTAGCTTATACTTATAGCTAAAGATGGAGATAAAGCGATCATGGAAGTGTTCAAAGTGCTATAATGTCGATTCCTAATTCAACATAGAGCTTATTTTATAGGCAGTCTGAAAAACCGTGCGAGAGTGTATTATTGGGGTAGGTCTAGACAAAGAGAGAGAGAGAGAGAGAGAGAGAGAGAGAGAGAGAGAGAATGAAATAGATAGATAGATATATAAATACAGTTAGAGAGAGAAAGAGAGAGAGAGAGAGAGAATGAGAAAGAGAGAGAGAGAGAGAGAGAGAAAATGAGAGAGAGATATAGATACAAAGAGAGGGTGTCCCCGTGACGTCACCGTCCCGTGTTGACATAATAGTCGGCCATGTTGAATCCAACCGGAAAGACAACAAGCAGACGGTTTCTGTTTATCTAGCAGAATGTTTGGATCTCATTTCACAACTTCTGCACGTATTCTCCACAATTTTCAGGAGAGAGACATATGAGATCAAGCTAGCACACTGCAGGGTCTTGCAGGCAAGAAGTTCTGTTATTAAATTGTTGCAAAATAAAGTGAATCGCTAAAAATCACAAAGTTCACAAACGATCACAACGGAGTTTTCTCTAATTCAAACGAAATTGAAATTATTAAACCGAATCCCACGCCTACGCCTACAATAAATGGATATTTGCAGTTTCCGACTCTTCCAGAACAGTAATTCACACTATTATATATAAATTTTTATAACAAAACACAACATGAGCTGTGACTAGAAAACGAAGCGGTAGCGAAGGAAAATGAGAAGGTGCACACACGCGAACATTTCGGCAATCTGTCAACGGACATAACCATAACAGCAGACTGAAACATCCATCAAGGTTAAAATAGAACCGGAAATACATAATAGATGAAAAATGTGAACAGAAGAACAGCTTTTGCAAAACCAAATACACACACACACACACAGAGAGAGAGAGAGCCAAAAAAAAAAGGGGGGGGGGGGGGGGGGGGATGTAAAAATAAAAGTTATAGATTTTCTTAACTATCTGAAACAAATAGCTGAAAAACAAGTAGAAATAGTCATCTTCACATTAACACAAATGATGAATCAAAGTTGCAGCTGACTGATTAATGACAGCATAAATTATTTTGTTAGATTCACTAGTCTTCTTCAGAGCTCCATCTTAGGCCGAAAAAAAGAATATACCATCGACCCTTAAGAAGCATTTCATAAAAGGGGACTAATTAACTGCTTGCCAAAAAATGGATGTGATGGGCTGAAAGGGGTAGATATTACAGCATGGCCACAACTTTTCAGTCAGCCTAAGCGCAGAGACGTACAGAAAAATCTTGCTGCCTGGTCTGAGATTGTACCATGAAGGAATATTTTCTATAGAAATAATCAACATCTGATGGGTAGAAGATGTCGAGGTCAGCCTCTACTGTGAAATAAAGATGTGTGCAAACGCGATGTGAATGATATAGGTATTGAGGTACATTGGTGGGAACAAAATGCTTTGGATCATATTGTGTGAAAGGGGAAAATTATGAAGGGAATGAGAATAAAGGGAAACAAATGGTTGCAAGAAGGTTGAGAGCCGCTTGTCTGAGAAGAAGCAAACTAAATACATACAATGGCAACAATGATCCTGAAGTTCTATGCTTCAATTGTGGAAGACATTTCTTTACATAGGCAGGTCTTGCTAGTCACACTCGCCATCGCCATGGCCTGTGAGTCCCTTGCCTCCTAAATAGCACAGTATAACATTGTCATCTGGAGATATGGAAAAGTGCCAACCAACCATCAACACTAGAGTCTGGAGAGACAGAAATCTACAAGCTGCTTAGCAAGTCACACAGATATACTAATGACTGCTGACCTCCGTGTGGGTTCCGGGGCCCCATTGTGGGGAAAACAAAAATAGACCCACTTGCCTCCCCAAAAGCATGTCGTAAGAGTCGACTAATTGGGGAGCTTCCTTTGAAGTCGGAGTGCATCTGCCGGAGAGGCAAGGAACCAACAGTGTGTATTCAAGAGAATGAGATCTGTAAAACTGATGCACACGCAACACTCAGCTTCTGGAGCAGGACTGCAGTTCAGTAGTGGATGAGCAACCAGAACCTTCCGCCAGAGTTTACAGCTGGTGAACGCGAAGAAGAAGAAGACTAATGACTGCATGAACCTTGTGTGGTTGTTCTTTTGAAATTACTTGTTACTGTATTTCTCATCAGGCGCTCAGGAACATGGAGTTTGCTGCACTGTCAGAGATCCCACCATGCCTGCATTCAAATCCCACTGCCAAGGTATGATTTATCATTTTGTTGTACTTGTCCACATCCTTGAACTCCCCAAATGTCATTTATGTTCAGCGATTTTTGTACAGACATAACTTTTCTTTGCAAAATACTCACAGAGCTGAATAAACCCTATCCTGGTGTACGGAAGTGAATCTTGGACAGTTAGTGACAATTCTTTGGAAGCTGTGGTGTGGTTTTATAGATGAATGACGAGAATACCCTGGACAAGTAAAAAGATGAATGAAGATGTCTTGAAAGAAACTTATTCATGAAGAGAACCAGTTGCCCACGTCAGAAGGGAACAATCTACATTCTTTGGTCATGGGATGAGAAGGAGAAAACTAGAGTACATTGTGATGGTGGGAAAGTTGGGGGAGGAGAAGAGGCAGAGGGAGACTGAATAAGAAGCTGTTGGACAGTTTGACATCATGGCATATAAGATCATCTGTCCCCCGTGTGGGTTCCGGGGCCCTATTGTGGGGAAAACAAGAATAGACCCACTGCCTCCCCAAAAGCATGTCGTAAGAGTCGACTAACTGGGGAGCTTCCTTTGAAGTCGGAGTGCATCTGCCTGAGAGGCAAGGAACCAGCAGTCTGCATTCAATTGAATCAGATCTGTAAAACTGATGCACATGCAACACTCAGGTTCTGGAGCATGACTGCAGTCCAGAAGTGGACGAACAACCAGAACTTTACGCCAGAGTGTACAGCTGGTGAACACAAAGAAGAAGAAGATCATCTGTGTCAGCATTGATTAAAAGTATTTGAGACAAAAAAAATTATGGATAGACATGACTACCAACACACATGTCTGGATTGTAAGAAGAGGAAGTATGGTTTTTTCTCAGTATCCTATCCCAAACAGTGAAAATCCACAGGTCATGGGAAAGTCTAATATTTCTAAAATATGCAGTTGTGGGACCTAGGCTACACTCTCTCGTGGGACATAGGTGGGTTGGAGTTAGGGCCAGTTCTAGATGTTTTGGGGTTGTTAAAGGCATCAGAAAGCCGGGAAACCCACTCTTACCACACTATAAAATGTTGGTCTGTCCTATGATGTCACCTGGGGTAGGATATTACGAAAACACCAGAAGTCCAAATCCTTATGTGTGGAAGTAAATTATGGACAGTGAAACGAGTGGACGGTGTCACTTGAGACAATGAAGCATACAACATCTCTTCAGTGATAAAAGTGGCAATCAGGGGAAGATTGATTGATCAACTTAGAATATGCAGTGAACTTCAGCTAACCATGAATGGCAAGACCAAGTCTAAGGTGTTGAAATGTATGATTTATAACAGCAGACAGTGAAAGAAGTCGAATAAGAACAACCTGAAATACTCCAATGCTTCTAGGACCAACAAACTTAACGTGTTGACATTCCAGCTCGACAAAACTGTTTATCTTTGGTGGCTTCCAGAGGCAATCTTCCTTCTAAGATCTACACAGCTCGGACTGACACATCCTGCTGATTCAACTACTTTATTGCCAATCTTTGGAACTAACTTCCTAACCACATGTATATTTTTATTTGTTAGTACACAACAATAGTACTTGCTTGATTTAGTAATGTTCTAGTTCCGTGCGTAATTTGCACATGACAGACAGTCAGATTTAGAAGAATGATACCCCACAGAAGTGTACTTGCATGTTGTTTGTTTTATCCATTTTCATTCAAAATTCATTTTCCTTGTACTTTTCAGTACCCACGATTCCCTTTCCTGATTGGGGAACATCCTCTCCTGATTTCCAAAACTGTTGACGGAACTGCCATGGTAACCAACTTTCGGTTCTGCGTCTGTGAGGAGACCATCGTCAATATTCCACTGATGATGGTTGGTGATCTGCTTGTTAGCGAGGCTGCCAAGCGACTGAGGATCAGCTGTAAAGATGGCTCCACGTACAGGTGAGTTGCATTATCATCGTTTTTGTCAAAAATATAAGAATAAAAAAAGCCTTTTCATGCCAGTGATGACTCAGACATATATTGATCTTTTTTACAGATCTGAATCATGTGTATGCACACTGTTGGTTTCTCGCCTCTCAGGTAGATGCACACTGACTTCATAGGAAGCTCCCAATTAGTGGACTCTTACAACCTGCTTTAGGTTAGGCAGTAGGACTATTCCTTGTTTTCCCCACAGTTGGGCCCTGGAACCTTGAATAATATGACTCAATTAAACAGGGTGTCCCATTCATTTCCATACATCGGAGAAATATCATTGTTTTGAGAAAATGTGGGTGCATGTTCTCCACTGCCCAAGAACACTTATAAGCACACCTGCAATTTTGCTTGTGTCAGGGGTCGAGAGGCTGGTGGCAAGGTCAGAGCACGTGTGTTTAGGTTTAGATGACAGATCAACATCATGGCACAAGGGTAGTAACCCATAAGTGCTGGGTTCTACTTCTAACTCAAGCCTGAGTCGGAAGAATCTCAGCACAGTGCAGGAACTTTGTAGCACTGGCGAGGATCCTGAAATACTTTGGGTAGATTTTTTACATGCACACACTGTACTATACACACTGGAGTCCGATCTTACTATCCAGAGACCAGGAGAAATTACCTGAAGTCCACGCTTGAACATGGGATCTCCAGCACTCAGGGTGAACGCCATGCCTTAAGACCATGCAGCCCCCCTTGTTAATAAAGGTCATTCAACTTGCGCTGACAGACATGCTTATTTGTACTTCTCGTATTTGCCTCAGACTCCCCGAGTTTGATAAGTACCAAGAGATATGAGTGCTGTGATATAGTTCATTGTTGACACACTCAAAGCAAATAAGCACTGCAATTACAGTTAGACGACAACAAGAACAAACTACTGTGATCACAATTCACATGAGGAAGTCTGATATAGATACGACATGTTCAGCTCTGTTACTGTTAACTTTGTTATGCTATCACTGCTACAACATTCTAAATAATTCAGCACATTAAATGTTGAATTAAGAATCAACATCACAGCACTTGGGACACTCCCATTAGTGCTTAGTCCCCATCTTCAGCTGCAAGTGAAGAGTTCCAGTTCCGATGATACCGGTAACTATCTGATTGTATATCCGTCTCATCCTTCCCCTGAATGTTGAGCGTTGGCCAGATCCCCTGGTAACTCCTTCCAGCGCCATTCTCCTTAGACTGTAATGATCTATCTGTGCCTCCGCACTGTTCACTCACTTCCAAAAGGGACCTCACAATATCTAACTTGTCATATATCAATTTACCACCAAGTGGTGCAGAACCAGCCAGTCTGTCTGCCTGCTCATTTCCCAACACACTCAGCAAACTAGCTCACTCTATCTAATACAATAACTGAAACCACTATTCATGTGACATGGCTACACTGCAGTTGTCCAGACCTTCCTTTAGGATGTCCGGTCGAGGACTGTCCTCAGCTGTTTCACATCCCGAGCTCACTTCAGGCAGTGCACTTGCCTCCATGGCCCATGTGCACACCATGACAATCGCATCCATAGTGCTCCACCGGCAGTCCCACAATCACCCAATCTCCACCCCTACCGTGATCTGTTGAGTTGAGTTTAGTCAAGAACTGACATCACAGCAATTGGGGTATTCCCATGAGTGCTCCATCCTCATCTTCAGCAGCCAGCGCAGAGTTCCAATACTGATGGTACCTGTCACAATCTGGTTACATGTCCATCTTGCCTTTCCTCTGAGTGTAGTGAGCCGGACAGACACTCTGGTTACACCCAGGTGCCTCATTCTCTTCAGGTCATAATAATCTCATTTCTCTACTGATTCTATTGCTTGTTCCCAAAGGGCCTTGACCACATCTGCCTTGTCATGTATCGATTCACCACCCAGTGGTGCAGATCCAGCCAATCTGTCTGCCTGTTCATTACCCACAACGCCGGCATAGCCTGGAGCAAAGATCCAAAGTATGCTTACTACCCGTGACCTTCCCAGTGAAGCTTGCCACTCTGCTTGAATCATCCCTGTCCTCACCTTTCTCAGCATTTTTTCAGTCTGTTACATTACGTCATGTTTATGCATCTTGTTCTCTAGCCACGGGAGAGCTGCAGTTACTGCCTCCACCTCCATTCTCATGCTAGATGTTGTGATGTCGTATGCTGGGCTGTCTTGCACTAAAGATTTTCCATTTGCTTTCACTATGAACCCCCAAGCACTTCTCTTTCCTCTCACCACCGAACCATCTGTATAGATAATCATGACAGCTTATATGTAGAAACATATGGGACACCCTGTACAATGAACGTTTCACACCCTCTCTCGACAGCTGCACTTTTGCCACCACTGGAGATTGCCAGGCTTGCACAGCCTTGTTGAAGGAGAAGACTGGCATGCCTCAAAGCCTCATGGACCTGTTTGCCTACAGGTTTTACGCTGTGGCCATGCACAGAAGGGGTCTGGGGGCTAACCTGACGAGGTTGGAGGAGGAACACATCTCACTTTGTCAGCCAGGTATCTTCTCGTTAAGTGGCTTTTGTGTTTAGGGGAATATCTTTGTCAACAAGCCAGGTGTCAAGTCAGCCAGGTATCTTTTTCAGTGGCTTTTGTATCTAGGGGAATATCTGTGTCTTCTTCTTCTTTTTCTTCTTCTTCTTCTTCTTCTTCTTCTTCTTCTTCTTCTTCTTCTTCTTCTTCTTCTTCTCTGCTTACATCGGCTGTAAACTCTGACAGAAAGTTATCTTTGTTCATCTACTTCTGAACTCCAGTTCATGTGCTGACACTCTTCCATGCTATAAAGAAAGGCTTCCCTTTGCTTTGCCATTCCTCCTCCCCTCCCCGCCCCCCCCTCCCGCCTTAAGGTTTGACACTATGAGGTTACAAAATCTTAAACTGGATAGATTTACAGGACAGATCCCAGATATCCAGTTCAACCTCTAAAAATGTTTTTATTAGGGCACCCTCTGTCTGCTGCACCAGCTTTATATATTCTGCAGTTCTGTGTGGGTTACAACGAAAAGTCAGATAGTTGTGTTATCAGGGCAAGTTAAAGAACTGCTAAAGACATGGAACAAAAGTTAAATACATTTGAAAACAGATGTCTGAGGAAAGTATTGAATGTAATCTTGGAGTAATTGAAAGAGAAAAAGAGGGGGGTGGGATAAGAGACATGTCTGGGCAACCATCGGTAACAACAGTTATAAGACAGATAAGATGGCGATGTATTGGACGCATCCTGAGAAAAAATTAGCAGAGAATCACAAAACAGACACTAAAATGGAATCAGAAGCAACGGAATCAGTAGAAAAACAAGATTATTATGGTCTGGAGAGAATGAGGCACCTTGGTATAACCAGAGGGTCTGGCCGGCTCACTACACTCAGAGGAAAGGCAAGACGGACATATAACCAGATTGCTACCGGTACCAGTATTGGAACTCTGCTGAAGATGAGGACGAAGCACGCATGGGAATGCCCAGAGTGCTGTGATGTCAATTCTTGACTCAACTCAACTCAAAACTAAAATGGGAAATAAAGGGATTGAGGAAGTGAGGTTATCAAAAATAAAACCCCGGTACATTCATTGATGAAAGAGGCCAAAGGTACTGTACTGAATTCCATCCATAATCTTACAGGGATTGCAAAAGATAGAAGGATATGGAGGAATAGACAGTGAACCCCGTGTGATATAAAATGGCAGAACAGTACGATGATGATAGTGGAGTTATTTCAATTCTTCATGTCTGTCCACTCCCTTGCCTTCTTTCTCGTCTACAGCCAAAAATTTCTGGCATCAGTCTTTGTCCAGGTCATGATACCAGACTGCTCAGAGGCTTCATTCCGTGGATTCTTCTTCTTTTTCTTCTTCTTCGTGTTCACTGGCTGTAAGCTCTTGTGGAAAGTTCTGTGTGTTTGTCCACTTCTGGACTTTAGTCTTGTTCCAGAACTTGAGTTTTGTATGCACATGTTTTATAGATCTGGCTTATTTGTATGCAGACTGTTGGTTCCTTAACTCTTAGGCAGATGCACTCCATCTTTGCAGGAAACCCCTAATTAGTCTGTTCTTTTCTTACCTACAGTAGGGCCCCAAAACCCACACAGGGGTACCATGGGCAGTGATTCCAGAACAACAGAAAAGGGGAATATTTATCACATGGAGAGACAAAAAGATGTCAGCAATAAACCTACTTCTTGTAGCCTTATTTCTTTGCCAACCACAGCCTGCACAGCAAAATTCATTCCCGGTTTCTTTGCTCCTTCAAATTGTTTTATTATTCTCCTCTTACTTTAAACAAATCTTTATTTTCTTTCCTTCAATCCATTCTCCTGCCCTTACGTCAGTTATAATTTGTCTCATACTTTTAGTTTAAATCTTTTCTACCTCCTTCTCTTTTTCTTTTTGCCTCACCTACCCAACAACCCCCCTCCCATTTGTTTCTTTTCTGTGTCAAGCCAAACATATACAAGAGAGAGTGGGTGAGGGGGAGAGAAAGATTGAAAGCAGATAATAATAGACTTTCAGAAACTGTTGTTTATTACATCTATTTTATACCTTTCATCCTTCAGTAAACCCAATATTTGCCTACAACTTCGACAAGGAAACAGAACGTTTGCAGTTTGACACCAGCAAGCAGGGAGCCTGGCGCAAGAGCCTGGCTAACAAAAACTACGAGTACGTTGTTTATAAATCAATGTTTTCCCGTTGGGAATTGAAATAATGAGCATCTTCTTCTTTTTGTTCTTATTTTTTATTGAGTGTTTACCGACGGTAAACGCCGGCAGAAAGTTCTGGTGGTTGATCTATTTCTGGACTTTTATGTTGTTTCAGAATTTGAGTTTTGTGTGCACAGTCCGTTTTACAGATGTAACTTATTTATATGCAGACTGTTAGTTCTTCACCTCTCAGGCAGATGCACTTCGATTTTGATGAAAATGCTGTCTAATTAGTAAACTTTTACAACACACTTGTTGGGTGGCTCAGTTCATTTCCTCCCACATGGGGATAATGAACATACAAACAGTACACATTTATATCTGCTCGCTAGCTCAGTTGGTTAAACCTGACTGCACGGTGACTGGGTGACAAACTCCTTGTGGTCCAGGTTCATGCCGGTAAGGCAGAAAAGCCACATTTCTCCCAGATTTATGGTATCTATCATGGAATCAAGACTCATGGTTTCTGGATACTTATTTAAAAAAAAAAAATAATAATTCTAATGGACACAATTATTTTTACTTGAGTTCCAAGGCCCCATTTTTGTCTCTACTCCTCCCCCCCTCCCCCAAAGAAGAGACTCTCATTGCCCCTTAACAAGCATGTCGTAAAAGATGAGACAAATGAAAGATTTGCTGAAATCAGATGTATTAGGTCAAAAGGTATGGATATCCCAGCTATGCTGTAAATCACAACACAACCTGCCAATCGCACTTTTGACGGTGAACTTCTTCATCTTCTTCTCTTTTTGTTTACCGGCTGTAAATTCCAGCGGAAAGTTCTTGTTGTTCGTCCACTTCTGGACTACAGTCCTGTTTGAGAACCTGAGTGTTGCGCGTGTGCATCCCTTTGACAGATCTGGCTCATCTGTGTGCAGACTGTTGGTTTCTTGCCTCTCAGGCAGATGCTCTTTGACTAAGTTGACTGTTACAACATGCTTTTGGGTAGGCAGTGGGTCTATTCTTGTTTTCCCTATAATAGGACCCCCGAACCCACACGGGGTTGATGGTGAACAAAAGAGGAATTTAGTCGGTTGTGCCTGGTTTTCACGTATTCTTCGTATTTATCCATCGTTTATGATACTAGACTTATATTTTTATGGACCAATTAGCACTACGCAGGAGGTGGGGTCACCATCAAACCAATCGCCTTTAATTCCCAAGTCTTTACCTGGTAGATATGTTAGGATGGGTCGACCTGGGAGCCAAAGGTCAGTGTTAGAAAATCTGACTCCTCTCAGATTTGAACCTAAGACAGCGAACATCTAGTCGCTAAGCTGCTCCTGCTGTCTCACAGAAGTCATTCTCGTGGAGAAAAATCTGGCCAATTCTGGGGATTCAACCCGGACTGCTGTCTCGATAGGCAGACAAAACTATTTGTTCTTCTCCTTCTCTTCCTCTGACTTCTTCTTCTTTTGTTCGCTTGAAATAAATCATCTATATCTGCAATGATGTCTCTAGTATGCACTTCACGGACTTTTGTAATTCACTCAGCAACCCATAAAGTTTGACTAGCACTGATATTTCTCTTGACCAAAGCCATGGACGCGGCATGTTAGCCCACATGATGCCAGTAATTAGTGGTGAAACACTAAGTATACACATTTGACGGAGTATATATTTCATTGTTGTTTCTCTCTCCAGGCTAAACTATTTTAAAGTTAGTTGCGCATCCTTTAAAGTACGTTTCACAACCAACTTCAGCATTTTTTGTTGTTTTGGGGTTGGTGACTGTTGTTGTTTTTGTAGGTAAATTTACATTCATTAGTTTGCCACTGCTTTCTGAATGGTCATCTCTCTGCCACTGTAGAAACACACGCAAGACTGTCTGCTGCCAAATTGCCTGCAGCCTCGATCGAGCCTGTCACCCTGGCATGTTTGCAGTGCCTGAGCCACAGATGCAGACTCTCGACTGTTAGCACTTTTGAAATTTATGATGAGGTTTTAAAAAAAAAATTGTTGACAGTTTCTAATGATTGGTTCAAATGTGTTTGAAGGCTATGTCCCACCTATCCCAAGTTCCACATCCTGCCAGCCGCAGTGGACGACGATCGGCTGAAAGCCAGCCTGGATTTCCGAGCCTTGAAGAGATTTCCATCGGTTGTCTGGAGGTAGGAAACCTTGTTGTGATGATTGTTTGTGGGTTTCGGCAGGTACAGTTGAAAGTGACTACTGATCAAATGATTCAGGCATGGATCAAGACTACAACAAGAATGTTGAATGTTGAATTAAGAACCGACATCACAGCACTCGGGACACCCCTATAAGTGCTCCGTCCCCATCTTCACCAGCAAGTAACTGTCTGATTGTATATCCATCTAGCCTTTCCCCTGAGTGTTGAGCGTCGGCTAGATCCCCTTGTAACTCCTTGCAGTGCCATTCTCCTCGGACCGTAATGATCTTTTTGTGCCCGGCACTGTTCACTCGCTCCCAAAGGGCCCTCACAACATCCAGCTTGTCATACAACAGTTCAACACCAAATGGTGCAGAACTGGCCAGTCTATCTGCCTGCTCATTTCCCAACATGTGACCTGGAGAAAATATCCAAAGGATGCTAACTACCCGGGACCGTTGAAGTGATGCTTGCCACTCTGCACGGAGCATGCGACTACAACATGACTGCACCACAGAGAGCCCTGTTGCTTAGACACAACAGAAGCAGAGCTAGAGATTCCTCATGCAAGCGATGGATAGATGGAATATCAGGCGGTGAACCTAGCGTCTACATAACACACACCAAGGCTCATCCCAGATGGTTCTTCAAAACCTGAAGCTGAGAGGCGAGAACAGGGATTTGAGAAAAGAAGAAGAAAAGATGGTTGTAACTCTTGTAGGCTTCTAAGATTTCACAGCAGACGCCTGAAGAGAAGAAAGCTGGTTGAATGATTAGAGTTTCTAGCCGTCATTCGGGAGATACCTGAAGAGAGCTGGTTGAGTGATTAGAATTTCCAGCCGTCATTCAGGAGACCTGTATAAATAAATGCTATAGACACATTTTATGGATTAGCTATTTGAAACATCAAACTAACAAATATGTGAGAGACCAAAAAAAAAAAAAAAAAAGAAATTTGCAGGACATCAGAAGTCTCTTTTGGCAGTGTTGAAACTTCGCAAGCTAGTTTGGTTCGGGCCCATGCTGAGACATGATTCGATTGCAAAGACTTCAGGTAACATTAGAGGGTAGTTTTAGAGAGAGAGAGAGAGAGAGAGAGTGCGCGCGCGCCGTGGGGGGGGGGGGGGGGGGGAACTGGGTAACAAAGAAGAACCCGGAATGAAAACATCAAGAAATTGACTGAACTAAATTATTAAAATTTTTTTTTATAAGTGGAAGACAGATTAAGATGGTGGGTTTTGTGTGATAGTGCTTCCATTGATACACCTCCACAACTCTAGCAAGTCAAGGGTTGTGTTAACTTATATGTTATTCAGGAGACCACGTTTGAAACCTCAGTTAAGGTGGTGGAAATTATTTGCAAGGGGCCAAAAAATCCTAGCAAACTGCAAACTGTGTAAATACTGAGAGTCAAGACCTCCCCTTACTCTTCCTCTTTGCATCTCCGTGACAGTGGTCACATAATAACAGCACAAAACATCCATGGTGGATAATTAATCTGAACTCTCAGGGTCATCATCATCATATAGCAGGTCCTTTGCAGATTGTCAATCTCATCACGGTCTGCCTGAAAGAAACTCGGTCTCTTGCCAGCTCTTCTGTCTTGTGTACTTCCATATTCAAGGAGTCACTTATATCCTGTGCCCATCTTTGTGTTGGTTGACCCTCCCTCCTGGTACCATGTCCATAATGAGTTTCTTAGGATAATAATGCTGTAGTTTCCTCTTGCCTTCCACATCCGCATGGCTTTAGATTATGTCCTCAGCCTTCAGCAACCTTTTAGATTGCCAAGGCAAGTGAATGGCCTGCTCTGTGATGCTCCTGCTATCTTACTACCCGGTCACTAAGCGTGACACCCCCCACAACATAGGACAGATCTTGCCTAATTAGTTGTGTGAAGGGGGGTAGTCTTCAGCTAGCCCCCACCCTGACCGCCAGAACCTACGCGGGGACCTCACGTCGTGATTCACTCAAATTTTGTTTAGTCTTTTCCCAAAGTTTTACTTAAGTATTCAACTTGGCACTGGATTTTATCCTACGGGGCTTTGTCTCTCTGCGCAGAAAAGCTTATCTGTGTAGAGTTTGGTATTCATCAGGTAACTCTGTAGTTCCAAAGATAGGGGGCCACATGGATATGTGAGCATGCACGCTCATACATAGATGTGTGCAAACACACATTGAACAAAATCAAACACATGCGAACAACCCTCCACACACAAACAAGTCCCTATACACACACACACACTGATATTCTAACCTCCACACGCATGCTCTCTCTTTCTCTCTCTCTCTCTCCCCACATGCACACACACACACACACACACACACACACACACACACACAGAGCAGCTCTTAAACACACGCCCTACTTCAAGCCAACATATAAGGACATAAGACACTGACTGCTTCAGTTGATCTTACTGCCACTTCGTGAATGGTTTTTTTCCTTTTCTGTGCAGAGACAAGCAGACGGGGATGGTCCTGATCCGCAGCAGCCAGCCTCTGTCCAGCTTCCTGGGTGTGAGCTACTTCACCAACCAGGCGGATGTTTCTTTGATTGAAGAGATTGTCAATGCCTGCAACAGGTTTGTTGACAGCTTATATGTGGTGGTGGTGGTGGTGGTGGGGGGGTTCATAGATGTAACTGGATGTGGATTCTTTTTTCTTCTTCTTCGCGCTCACTGGCTGTAAACTCTGGCAGAAAATCCTGGTTGTTCGCAAACCTCCAGACTTTAGTCTTGTTCCAGAATCTGAGTGCTATGTGTACATTTGTTTTACAACTTTTGGTTTCTAGCTTTGGTTCCTTGTCCCTCAGATAGATGCACTCTGACTTCGAAGGAAGCTCCCAACTAGTTGACTGCCTACGACATGCTTTTTTGAGGAGACAGTAGGTCTATTCTTGTTTTCCCCACAATGAGGCTGTTTAAACCACACAAGGATGGATGTGGGTTACAGTTGAGAGTGTCAGTACTTCGGTACTTCACATCTTAGATATGGATGTCCTTGTAAAGTTACCGGAACTCCATTTTGGAGAACGGAGAATAGACTCACTGCCCCCCCTAACAAGCATTTCATAGGCTGTGACGACTAATTGGGGATTTCTTCTCCAAAGTCAGAACGCATCTGCCTAAGTGGTCAGGAACCAACGGTCTGCACACAAGTAATCAAGATCTGTAAAGGGGATGTTGGCACAGAATTCAAGTTCTGGAACAAAACTGAGGTCAGAACTTTCCACCGGAGTTTCCAGCTGATAAAAGCTGGATTTTGTATATACCACTTGGCACTCGGTGGTGTTGTCAGTATCACACTAGCTGCCTTTACTTCCCAGGACTTTATACCTGATACCCTTACAAGTGGCTGGACAGCATCAAGAGATGGACGGGCAGCAGTCTGTGAGAGTGTACAACCAGGACAAGAGACAGAGCATGCTGGAGATCCATTGCAGCCAACCTTCACCTTCACCTGATTGATGGATTCGTAGTGCCCATTTAAGGCTGGGCCTCAAAGCCAAGGTCATTTAAAAAAAAGAAGCCCGGCTCCATTCAGATTTAAACCCATGACCTTCAGATCTGCAGGCGAACATTTTACTGCTACACTATGGCCACTTCTGAAGTCTTAAAAATGCTCCTTACAAATCTGTTAACACGCAACACAAGCATAATTTTGGTGGGATTCATTTCAGAGATTGGCTGGCCATAGCTCAAAAAGAACTCAAGTCACGGCATTCAGTCCATGAGACAGAAGTAAGACAGGATTGCGATGGTCAAGAAGGGGTCAGCGCCGTTAGTGGTTGTCTGAAAGTAAATGGAGCACAAGAAGGGTCTGTGTTGAGTGACCGCTCTTTGGTGTCTGCAGGACATAGTACCGTCAATGGAGGTTGTAATGGTGGTGAGTTGTGTCATCCATTTCATCAGCATTTTCATTATCTTCATTATCATCATTATCATCATCATGCTGTTTGGCCATTATGTATTATTCCAGTTAACAAACTGTGGTCTGGACAGGGATCATGGGAGACCCGTTACTTATGGTTATAGTCTTGCTAGGTAGCCTTGGTTGTTGTGGAGCATCTGTTGGTTGTCATTGATCATCTATTGGTTGTAATGGAGCATCTATTGGTTGTCATGGAGCATCTGTTGGTTGTCATGGAGCATCTGTAGGTTGTCATAGAGCGTCTGTTGGTTATCATTGAGCATCTATTGGTTGTCATTGAGCATCTGTTGGTTGTCATTGAGCATCTGTTGGTTGTCATGGAGCATCTGTTGGTTGTCATGGAGCATCTGTTGGTTGTCATGGAACATCTGTTGGTTGTCATGAAGCATCTATTTGTTGACATGGAGCATCTATTGGTTGTCATTGAGCATCTGTTGGTTGTCATTGAGCATCTGTTGGTTGTCATGGAGCATCTGTTGGTTGTCACAGAGCATCTATTGGTTGTCATGCAGCATGTGTTGGTTGTCATGGAGCATCTGTAGGTTGTCATGGAGCATGTGTTGGTTGTCACAGAGCATCTATTGGTTGTCATGCAGCATGTGTTGGTTGTCATTGAGCATCTGTTGGTTGTCATGGAGCATCTGTTGGTTGTCACATGAGCATCTGTTGGTTGTCATGGAGCATCCATTAGTTTTCACAGAGCATGTATAGGTGTGCCTGATATGCTCTAATGCCGACTCCTAAATTGGTCATCTTGGCACGTGTCATACTCCCCAGGTATGTCTTCTTCTTCTTTGTCCATCTTCAGACATCAGCCAGAACAAGGATTTGAGCTTTGTAGTGTCTCTGTAGTTTGTCATCAAAAGGTGTAGGTATGTGCTAAAATGATTCTCTCTGTTCTGCATATTTTGGACACTTGCAGTTAATGTTTAGCTATATTATTACCGATTCTGCAATTCTCCTGTCCTCAGTAGGAGTCGCAATGATGCAGCGGATCAGAAGGTCGTGGGTTCAAGTCCTGATGGAGCTGGACTTTTCTAAAAAAAAAAAAAATTTTGTCTCCCAGGTCGACCCAGCCTTGAGTGGGTACCAGGTTCAGTCCTGGAAACTAAAGTTGGCCGTCATGAGGCTGACCACATCACCCACCAAGTGCTGATCAGTTTATTAAATATAGGTCTAGCCCTATATGCCCAGTACGTCTGAAGGTGTGGAAAGGGTCCTTTATTTTTACTTTTCCTGTCCTGAACTTTATTGGGCAAGTGATATTTCAGCCTGTATCCTGTGAGTAGCAACTGAGTTCAGGAGTTGAATTCATTCATTTATTGACCTGTTGTGCCGTGTTTGTCTCATAGGGCTCACAGTGGTGAAGTGGTCTGAAGGTTGTGGGTTCGTTTCTCGGCTGCACCCTTCAGTTCACGAGTGCAGTTTTTACAGAGATGCCTGGGGAACATTGCCGGAGCTATGGAGTTCATGCTCTGTGGGGCGCTCTTGGCAGGCTGCTATCCATTCTTCGGAGAGAGATTGAGCCATACTGGATAAAACCCGGTGCAGTGAAGTCGATCCTTTTGACTTAGACCTTCAACTTCAACCCTTCTCCATTCCATTCTATCCTGTGCAATCACTTAAATACCATGAATTTAATCCATTCCAGCAGCTTTGGCTTCTCTCATCAGTGTTTGCCTTAGGGTTTCTCTCGGATGTCCTCGTTTTCTCAGATCCTCTATTCCTTTTTGGTTTTCCCTGTTTGTCAATTCTCGGTGTCTGTTTAAGAATGTTTCCAGTATAGTGCCAACTTCTCAGTCTTTCAACTGTTGATGCTAGTGGTTGCCCAGACATTTCTTTACACCTCCTGAATTCATCCCATTTTATGTTCATCATTTTCCTCAGGCATTTGTTTTCAAATGCATTTAATTTTCATACCATATCTTTTGGAGTTCTCCAGTTTTCACTGTCATATATTCAAACTGAAATAGATTTAGAATTGAAAATACATAACTTGGTTCTAAAACTGTATAATTTAGACTTTCATATATTGTTTAAGCTGGCCTGGCTCTTATTCATGAGAGTTGGGTTCAAAATCTCAGCAAGGTAGTAGAATTGTTTTCCATTGGGGCAGAAATACAAATCCTCAACCTGCATAGTGTGTGGCAGCTGCACTAGCCTAGTCATTCAACCTACGTTGTCAGGCTAAAGACTCCCCCCTCCGCCACTCTCCACACTGCTTTTTTCCAGGGGTAGGGAAGTGTTGTCAGTGGGTCTATCCCCCCCCCCCCCCAACCATGATAGGGCCCGGAACCCACATGGGGAATAAGTAGTTGTAAGTTTTTGAAATGCTTCTAAGGGTTGTGCATTTTGGAATACCCAGGTGATGGCTACATTGCCAAAAAGCTGGCCATTGTTGACTGTCGCAGTCTTGCTGGAGTCTGGGGCAACAGTTTTAAAGGTGGCGGTACAGAGGATGAAGGTAAGAGATTCAATATTAAAGGAAAGAAAGAATGAATCAGCTAAGAATTGACATCACTGCACTTAGGGCATTTGCACACATGCTCTGTCTCCTTAGTTAGTGGCCAACGAAGAGTTCCTATACTGACGGTGCCGATGGCAATCTGAATAAAAGTCTTGTCTTTTCTCTTGTAAGCTAAATATCACCACAGACTGTCCGCTTACTCCCTGCTAAAGCAGTCTGTCTCCAGTTATGGATACTTTGTTCTGTTATACTGTGTCTACAATTATGGATACTTTGTTCTGTTATACTGTGTCTCCAGTTATGGTTACTTTGTTCTGTTATACCATGTCTCCAGTTATGGATTCTTTGTTCTGTTATACTGTGTCTTCAGTTATGGATATTTGTTTATCTTTTCATGTCTCCACTTATGGATACTTTGTTCTGTTATACTGTGTCTCTAGTTATGGATACTTTGTTCTATTATACCGTGTCTTCACTTATGGATACTTTGTTCTGTTATACTGTCTGCTTGATTCCAGAGAGCCTTCACCACATCCACCTTATCAGAAAGTAGCATGCAGTCCAGAGCAGCGGCAGCAGCCACTTTATCAGCTTGGTTATCTATGAGCATGATCTGGTGGGTTGAGACAGGCTCGATACACAGACTGTGGATTGGGTCATTGCAAATATCCACTGTGCATGCAGTTAGCTTTATCTTTGTCCCAGGTTATACTAGTGATAGATTGACCAGTTCTGCATTAGTTGCAGAGGGCCGTCCTATGGGTTGCGCCAACGTTAATACCCTTAGATAGATAGAAAGATCAGAGAATGTGGGAAAAGAGAATCCGCATCTCTGCAAAGAATGCGAGATTTAGGAGTTGAGATTGGCACAGCCAGGCATGAGAGGTACACCGGAAGTAAAATAAGTCATATCAACCAGCATGGGACTGTTACTATTAACCACGGGACGCTGATGTAATGTTCAAGGGGAAGTGCTATGAAGATAACCCATACCTTTCACATGTGAATGTAGGAAAGAGGTTAAATGTAATAATGTAACCCTGTTTATGGGCCTGAATGTATATTAGGAGATCTACTTTGGTCTTGTTCCTGGAGAGTGAGTTTTGCATGCAAATCCGTTTTACAGATCTGGCTTTTTTGTATACGGACTGTTGGTTCCTCGCCTCTCGGGCAGATGCACTCCGACTTCAAAGGAAACAGGCCTAATTAATTGCCTTGTATGACATGCTTGTTGGGGGGGGGGGCAGTTGGTCTGTTCTTTCTAAGAGCCCAAAGGTGGGTTTTGAAGACATTAATATTGTTGATATTGGGCCAAAAAGCTATTGTTATTATTTGTGGATCATTAGTATTTTTGTATTCCTACTACTATTATCACCATTGACTTATTGTTACTGTTATTTCTGCGACTACTACGATTATTACTTCCCTTTTATTTATTATTACTCCTAAAATTTTTTTTATTTGTTCCACATAATCTTTTCCTCTTTCTATATTTTATAGTTATTATCTGAATTGCTGCTGCAGTTCTAGCAGCTTCCTTGGCCACAGCTGCTCGATGAAGAAAGTAGCGCCAGGATGAGCGCACAGGATGAGCGATCTTTCAGAGGTCTTCCTAGGTTTCCTTGAAACGGATCATTTTTCTTTTAGTACAGAAACAATTCTTTTTGGCGGTCGGTACTGACCTGCCCAGTGAAGTTGTGATTGTTCTAGAAACGAGTGAATACTGGGCAGTCCAGCTTTGTCAAGGATACATTGAGTTATCAGTTAAGAACTGACATCACTGCACCCATGATGTTCCCATAAGCACTTTATCCCCATCTCCAGCAGCAAACACAATTTCAATTCCACTGGTATCGGTTACAGTCTGATTGTATGTCTGTCCATCTGCCATGGTCTCTCCTTCTTCCCCTGAATGTAGAGTGTCAACGAGATCTTGTGGTCACTCCTCCCTGCACTGTTATCAACTTCAGACCATGGTGATCCATTTGTGCCTCCGCACTGTTTGGACACATTGAGATCAGGTCTCAGTTCGTTGCGTATCCTTTACAGGATGTTGCAGAGCCAACCCCAGCATTTATTGGCTGTAGTGGTTCTTCTAGGCACATTTTATGTTCAGTAGTTTGCCATTGCTTTCTGAATGAGATCAGGTGTACAAGGAGAAAAGTTTAATGTAGAACCTATGAAAGCTCTAAAGAGGTAGAGGCTACTTCTTATGCTCCATAATTTTCAAGTGTTTGCATGGAAAGCCTCCATCTCCTTCTCTGTCATTCCTCTTATCCTTCTCCATATACTTTTTCTCCTCCTCCTTCTTTGTCTCTAATACTGTTTTTCTTTCTGTTTTTGCTTCCATCTTTTCTCTCCTAATCTATCTTTTTCTGTCATTCTCTTTTAATCCTCCTCCATATGTTTGTTTTTCCCCTACGCCCCCTCTATCTCCTTCTAATTCTCCTTCTTCTCTGTTTTCACCACTATCTTTTTCTTCTACTCTTCCTCCATCTTCTGTCATCCTCTTCTCATCCTCTTCCATCTGCTTTTTTCCCCCTCCTCCTCCTCCTTCATCTCCAGCTAATTCTCCCTTCCCCTGTTTTAAACTCTATTTTCCTTCTTCCCCTCTTCCCCTTTTGTCTTCTTCTTCTCCATACAAAAGGAAAAAGTTGTTATATTTAAATAAATCTTTTTTAAAAATATTTTTTCCATAGCTATTTACAAATGCAACACGGTCCACTTGGACCTTGCCAACATTCACAATGTGAGAGACAGTTTCAACAAACTACGTCTGCTGTGCCATGCATACGTGGAGGGAACGTAAGTTTACCATAATTGATTATACTGTTCTGTATAACATACTGTCAGTACTGCATCCTTACTTCATGTCCTGAAGGTCTTGAGCTCAATTCCGCCTCAAGATGGAGTGGATTTTTTATAGTGGACCTGGCAGAACCAGCTAAAGTTGGTTCTAGGAAATGGTCAGGAAAGTAAAAATGGCCTGTGTGGTTTTGACAATGGGAGATTTAGCCTCCCTTTGTAGATTTTGGGCCCCATTTTGGGGAAACAAAAATAGACCCCCTTTCCCTCACAAGTGTGTCATAAAAGACGACTAAATAGGCTGTCTCCTTAGTTGGTGTGCATCTACGTGAGAGGTGAGAAACAGCCACCAGTTTTCATACAGTTAAGCCTGATCTGATAAACGGCTCTGCAGGTAAATCTAAGGTCCTGCAGCCCAGAAGAGGACAAACAACCAGCACTTTCTGCTAGAGTTTACAGCTGGTGAATGTGAAGAAGAAGAAGAACTTTGGCCTCGTATAGCAAACAGTTGTTTATCCATAAAATGACTGACTTTTTGTTAAACATGACCTTGGCTCCCAGGTCAACCCAGCCTTAAATTTGTCCTAGGTGGTTGAAGTCTTTCCTGTAGCAAAATACGGATGTGAGTTGTGGACTATCTCCCAGTCCCTAAGAAAGAGAATAGGGGCTTTTGAGCTGAAATGCTATAGAAAGATTTTCAGAATATCTTGGACAAAGAAGATGAGAAATAATGACATCTTGAAAGATCTGAACATCGAGGAAGATTGTCTAATAAACAGCATCCTGTCTCGGAAAATTATAGCAGAAGGCTTTGTGCCAGGAAGGAGGGGCTGGTGCCGACCAACAACACGAAGATGGGTACAGAATATAAGTGACTCCTTGAGTATGAAAGTGCATGAGGCGGGAGAGCTGGCGAGAGACCGAGTTTCTTTCAGGCAGACTGTGATGAGAGCGATGTTCTGCAAAGAACCTACTACATGATGATGATGGGTGAAGTTCTGGGAAATAAAGGCATTATAAACCTTTGGGTAGCAGCCCAGAGCAGACAAGCTGACCTGTCAATTGATTTGTTATAGATTCTGTAAGATTCATAACTATTTTGATGTTTTTAATTTATTGCATGTTTTTACATTACTGCAGGTTTTAAAATTATTGTAGGTTTTTAAATCATTGCAGTTAAAAAAAATAATTATTGCAGGTTTTAAATTGGCAGCTCCTTAAATTATTGCTGGTTTTTAAATTGTTGCAGGTTTTTATAATTATTGCAGGTTTTTAAAAATAATTATTGCAGGTTTTTAAAATAATTATTGCAGGTTTTTAAAAATAATTATTGTAGGTTTTTTATAATAATTGCAGGTTTTTAAAATAATTATTGCAGTTTAAAAAAAAAAATTGCAGGTTTTTAAAGAGTCTGTCCAGCTGCATGTGGCCATCTTATATCTCAGCCCTGTTGCGTGGTGCTAACATTGTCATGGAGCTGATGCATGTGATGAAGCGACCAGTGCTGGTCCACTGCTCTGACGGGTGGGACAGGACATCTCAGATTGTGTCTCTGTCGGAGCTGATGATGGATCCTTACTACAGGACTTTGGAAGTAAGAGTTGCATTAACTCATTTTGCCTTGGAAAAAGGAGAAGTAAGAGTTGCATTAACTCTTTTATCCTGGGAAAAGGATTAGTGATTAGTAAGAATCTTCCCCCTAACACTTTGCTGAGGTACAGGTGGAAGAGAAGAAGAAGAAAAAGGTTAGTAAGAAGTAGAAAGTAAGTAAAGGTAAAGAATCCTTTCCACGCCTTCAGATGTATTGGGCATATAGGGCTAGACCTATATTTTATAGAAAAATCGGCACTTGGTGGGTGATGTGGTCAGCATCACGCCGGCTGCCTTTACTTCCCGGACTCCACCTGGTACCCTCTCACGGCTGGGTCGACCTGGGAGCCAAGGAAGAAGTAAAATGGAGAAATAAAAAAATAAAAAAAATTTTTTTATTGAAAAAATAAAATCCTAGTCTGCGCAGTCCCTGGCAACAGCACTGGCCATGCAACCCCAATTCCTCAGGGTCAGAGACCCCAACCCCCCCCCCCCTCCCCCCACACATGTCTACACTGCAGAAGTGGTAAATGCAGGCAGTAGTGGCAGTAAAAAAAAACCCAGATGTTTTGAAAGAGGTGAGGGCTTGTAGACAACTTATCACAGACATCAGAAAGAGATGAAGGCCCGTAGACAACTTATCACAGACATCAGAAAGAGGTGAGGGCCTGTAGACAACTTATCACAGACATCAGAAAGAGGTGAGGGCTTGTAGACAACTTATCACAGACATCAGAAAGAGGTGAGGGTGTGTAGACAACTTATCACAGAAAGAGGTGAGGGCTTGTAGACAACTTATCACAGACATCAGAAAGAGGTGAGGGCGTGTAGACAACTTATCACAGACATCAGAAAGAGGTGAGGGCGTGTAGACAACTTATCACAGACATCAGAAAGAGGTGAGGGCTTGTAGACAACTTATCACAGTCATCAGAAAGAGGTGAGGGCGTGTAGACAACTTATCACAGACAGAAAGAGGTGAGGGCTTGTAGACAACTTATCACAGACATCAGAAAGAGGTGAGGGCCTGTAGACAACTTATCACAGACATCAGAAAGAGGTGAGGGCTTGTAGACAACTTATCACAGACATCAGAAAGAGGTGAGGGCTTGTAGACAACTTATCACAGACATCAGAAAGAGGTGAGGGCTTGTAGACAACTTATCACAGACATCAGAAAGAGGTGAGGGCGTGTGGACAACTTATCACAGACAGAAAGAGGTGAGGGCTTGTAGACAACTTATCACAGACATCAGAAAGAGGTGAGGGCTTGTAGACAACTTATCACAGACATCAGAAAGAGGTGAGGGCTTGTAGACAACTTATCACAGACATCAGAAAGAGGTGAGGGCGTGTAGACAACTTATCACAGACATCAGAAAGAGGCTGGTTGAACCTGGGGAACCGCCCGGTTTCGAACACCGGCCTGGGCTGCAGCGAGTCACAACTGGATTTAAAAGCGAGTCTCCTATCGACTGCACTAACCAATATGGGTCAGAAATAGGATAATTCATTTGAGGTCTGTGGTGGTGCCCTCTAGTTTGTTTGGTAAGGTCACTACTGTGGTCCAGATTTTTTTCTCACTGACTGGCAAAATCTGGGCAGCCTTGTGAGATATTAGAAATGAAACATCTGGAAAGAGCCAAATTCTCAAAATTTGCTAGATAATGCAGACATTATTGATTATGAAAATGCCTTTCATGTAATTTGTCACACACCCAACTTGCATGTGTAATATTCTGATGCAGTAAAAATATGCATAGGCATTCCTGTATTCTGAAAAAGAAAAACATCTGGCTGGTCAAAGACTTTCAGTATGAAAGCTGCCTTAACAGCATTATGGATCACTAGGGCAAACTGTTGTGCTGGGGTCCCCTATAGCAATCACTCACATGTTTGCGCTTTATTGTATGTTGTTCTCCCTGTGGGTTCCAGGGTCCCATTGTGGGGAAGACAAGAATAGACCCACTGCGTGCCCAGTTGCATGTTGTAATTGTCTGATTAATTGGGATCTTTCTTCAAAGTCGGAGCACATCTGCCTGAAAGGCAAGGAACCAACAGTCTGCATGCAAATGAGTCAGATATGTAAAACGGATATGCATGCAACACCCAGTTCCTGGAACAGGACAAGAGTTCAGAAGTGGATGAACAACCAGAACCTTCCACTGGAGTCTATAGCCGGTGAACGCGAAAGAGAAAAAGATTATTTGTTGTTATGTGGTGTGTGTGCATGTGCTCTTGTAGATGTAAAAAAGGGGAAAGGGACCTGGGGGGTGGAGGGGTGGATCAACTCACTGTCTGTAAACTTTTGCCATAAAAGGGCAACTAATTAGGGACTTTCTGAAATATTATATGTTCAGCTGAAAGACGCAGATATTGCAGCCTAGCTGTAAACCAGAACACAACATATCAACCACCCTTTTACGAGATAACCCAGAAGGAGAAAATAAGTTAATATTATTTTTGTAGTTTGCCTCCAGACAAGAAACAGTGCAAAAAATATTTTGTGTTGATTTTAGGGATTTCAGGTGCTGGTGGAAAGAGAATGGTTACACTTTGGCCACAAGTTTGGAGAGCGCGGGGGTCACGACCCTAAATGCAGTGACACAAATCAGATCAGTCCCATCTTCCTTCAGTTTCTCGACTGCGTCTACCAGCTGACCCTGCAGCATCCTGCCAGATTTCAGTTCAACGAAGCTTATCTGGTATGTGTTGTATTGAAAAGGATCTGAAATAAGTTTGTAGGCTGTAATTAGGTCTGAGTCTTGTTCTCTAGCTTAGTGATGCATTCAAACATTTCTTCTTTTCCTCCCCTCCTCCTCCTCCCTCCCACTTCTGCCTTCTCCTCCCCTCCTCCTCCCCCCGCCTCCTCCTCCTCCCCTTCCTTCTCCTCCCCCTCCTCCTCCCCTCCCCTTCTCCTCCCCCTCCTTTTCCTCCTCCCCCCTCCTCCTCCCCCTTCTCATCCCCTCCTTTTCCTCATCCTTCCTTCCTCCTCCTCCTCCTTCTTCTTCACATCCCCCAGCTGTAAACTCTGGTAGACAGTTCTGGTTATTCATCCACCTCTGGACTTTAGTCTTGTTTCAGAACCACATTATTTTACCAAGGACAGCAATGGATGTATATGTATATATCAGCTTTTTTTGTATGTATATGTATGTATATGTATGTATAAGTTTGTGTAAGTTTAAAATTGAGGTATCAGTCTTTAATGCAGAATTTGTTTAAAATATTTATTTCTTGAAAATAGGATGGCTTTAAAATTAATCTTCTGGCGTAGTCGTCTCGTCTTAAAAATAAGGGATTCACTCTTATACACAGAAAATCAGCATATCCATAGTATTCATTATTCCATAATTTCCATACAAAAATGGTTCCACGGACGTGATGATTCAAGCCATTGTCAAACCTGCCTGACAATACTCATTGAATCACTGCAAGCCAAAGCGCTTGTGTCACTGCCATCACCTCCATCGTCAAGAAGGCGCCGTTGGCTTCTTTGACTGTTCTGCCCGCTGAGCGTGCTGTAAATGCCCATGCGCTTCTTCTTTGGCGTATAACGGATCCGTCTTGTATGTATATGTATGTATATGTATGTATCATGTATATGTATGTATATGTATGTATATGTAAATGTATATGTATGTATATGTATGTATGTGTATGTATATGTATGTATATGTATGTATGTGTATGTATGTGTATGTATGTGTATGTATGTGTATGTAACATGTGTAATGTGTATGTATGTATGTATATGTACTATATGTATGTATATGTATGTATATGTATGTATATGTATGTATATGTATGTATATGTATATGATATGTATATGTATGTATATGTATGTATATGTATGTATATATATGTATATATATATATATATATATATATATATATATATATATATATTATATAATATATATATATATATATATATATATATATATATATATATATATATATATATATATATATATATATATATATATATATATATATATATATATATATATATATATATATATATATATATATATATATATATATATCAGCTTTTTTTTACTATATTATTTCCCAAGTTTTGTAAGTTTAAAATTGAGGGTCATCTTATATGCAGAATGTGTTTAAAATATTTATTTCCTAATTTAGGGCTTTGAAAATTGTCGTCGTCTTATAAATAAGGTCGTCTTATACACAGAAAAATATAGTATTTATTATTTCATAGTACACTGTTAACCGACAATACAAATGCCCAATAAAATTGGATATGTTGGCCAAAGAGTGCATGCTATACTGTAAACAAACACAACATAATTACGTCACTTGGACGAACAAGAAGAAAGATAATAAGACAGGTGTTTTATTAATATCTTACCCCAAACAGGGTTAATCCACAGGTCACGTGACTAATATTTCAGGTGGGTGGGGGGTGTAGATTGGGTTGCATGTAGTCGTGGGACCTAGGCTACACTCTCTTGTGGGACGTAGGTGGTTTGGGGTTAGGGCGAGTTCTGGATGTTTTGGGGTTGTTACAAGCATAAGAAAGCTGGGAAACCCAGTCTCACCACTCCCAGAAATGTTTGACTGTCCTGTGACATCATCTGGGGGCAGATATTAATAAAGCACCAGAAGACATCTCCCCGCCATTCTATATCCTCTTCATGTCACTATTGACACATAAGGCATTCACAAGTGATCTCCATTGCTGCCGGCCTGCTGCTTCTCTGCCCATGGTATCCCATGTCAGTTTACATTCCTTCATTTCCCGTTCTATTATCCTTCTCCAGGTTTCCTTAGGTCGTCCACGTCTCCTTTTCCTATCTGCTGTTCACCGGAGAGCTGTTTTTGCCACAGTGTCACAAGGCATTCTGCAGATATATCCAAGCCAGCTCCATCCTTACTTAGATAACATTTGCCAGTGATGCACATTCTGATTTCCTCCTCAGTTCTTCATTTTTGATTTTGTTTGGCCAAAATATTTGTAGAATTCTCCTTTAACATTTATTTTGAAAAGTTTCAAGGTTATGTGTAATTACCGCTGTCATTTTCCAACATTCACTGTTGTATAAAAGTATTCCTAAAATGTTGCTCTTGTATATTCTACGTTTTGTTTTCAAACTAAGTCCCTTTGACTTCCATGTATTGTTAAGCATGGCAAATGCTTGATTTGCTTTGTTTATTCTTGATGTTACATCCTTTTCAGCCCATGCTGTGGGGTTACTTTTATTCTGGTCTTGTTACAGATAAAACTCCTCCAGCATTCCTACGCTTGCCTGTTTGGCAATTTCCTGCACAACTGCCAGAGGGAGAGGGATGCCTGCCAACTGAAAACAGCCTCGGTGTGGGCATTGCTGCGTCCGGAGAAGGTGCAGTTTGTCAACTTGCTGTACAAGCCTTCAGATCAGGTAAAGTCTTAATCCGCACACCTGTTAGCCTCTATAGATAAAATTATGTATACTCTAGATGTAAGATCTGTACAGCTATTCTTATACGTTTGGATCTGTTGCCTTCCCATATGAGCTTTGGAAACCTTATTTGGAAGAAGAACTCACAGAGCATGTTGAGAAAGGTGGAAACCAGGCATGCTCCGTGCAGAGTGGCAAGCATCATTTAAAAAGTTCTGGGTAGTTAGCATCCTTTGGATATTTTCTCTAGGTCTTGCTGGCGTGTGGGGAAATGAGCAGGTAGATAGACTAGCTGGTTCTGCACCAATTGGTGTTGAACTAATGTATGACAAGCTGGATATTGTGAGGGCCCTTTGGGAGCTAGTGAACAGTGCAGAGGCACAGATAGATCATTATGGTCTGAGGAAAATGGCACTGCTAGGAATTACAAGGGGATCTGGCCGATGCTCGACACTCAGGACACAGGCGAGACGGATATACAATCAGACAGTTACTGGTACCATCGGAATTTTAACTCTTTCCTTGCAGCTGAAGATGGGAACGGAGCGCTTATAGGGGTATCCTGAGTGCTGTGATGTCGATTCCTAATTCAACTTTCAACATTTGGAAGAAGAAAGAAAAAGGGAAAAGACAAATTGTTCGCTCCATCCCTGACAAGTATGTTGTAAATGTAGACTAACTAGAGGTTTGTCGAAATCAGTTGTATTTGGCCGAAATTGTGGATATCACAGCTTAGCTGTAAACCACAACACAACATACCAGCCACTTGTTTAATGACAAACGAAGATACAGAACAAGTTTGAAAAAAAGAAAACAAAAAAACACTTTAGGGAGCACATTTACCCTAAAAAACAAAGGACATTGCATTGTCAAGCCTTTGTCAGCAAGCAGTTAGAAATCAAAAAAGGCAAACGACACAAAATAATAATAAATGATACAGAATGATGTAAAAAAATGTGGCATTTTACTGGACCGCTCCAAGTTTGATAAAATAGATAATTCTGTAGCACATCATTGGATCAGTGAATGTTTATTCAGCAGTTGTTTTAGTTAGTTGGCTGACTGATTGGTTTGTTGACTGATTGGTTTGCTGACTGTCTTATTGACTGGTTGATTGGTTATTTGGTTATGTGGTCTCGAGGCATAGTGTCCACCTCGAGTGCTAGAGAACCTAGCTTCAAGCCCCAGTGAGAGCTGGGATTTTTTCATGTGGACCTCTAGTAATTTCCCCTGGTCTCTGGGTAGTAAGATCGGACGCCCATGTGTATTGTTGCGCACGTTAAAAAATCCTTTGGCAGTTGGAAATCAAAAAGAGTAGCCTAACGGCATTGCCCGGGCAAAATTTTGAGTTAAAATCTACCCAAAGTTAGTGCACTGTGCTGAGATTCTTCGGACTCAGGCTTGAGTTAGAAGTAGAACGGAGCACTTTATGGGTTACTTATATGTTGAATAAACATAAACATATTGGTTATTTCATTGGGTATCAGAAAGATATTTGAAGAGATTGATCAATAAACAAATACAATGAAGCATTACATGGAAGACAAAAACATATGTATCAGGTGACTCATGCTGTAACCCTGTGCCCTCTGTCACTAAGGCTTATGGGAAAAATGTGTCTTCAGTCAAATAACACACACACACCGCACGCACGTACACACACACACACATATACGCCCCCCTCCCCCTTTTCCGCACCAAAAATTATTTAAAATATAAATACATTTTTTGGGTGATTTTTGTGTGTGTGGTGACCTGTGGAAAAAATTCAGAATTTTTTTCTGGAATTCCAAGGGAGTCGTGACCCATTTTTTTTTTTTAGTGTTCCCAGGGTGAAACGGTTAAGAGGTTATTTGTTCATTCGCACTCAGTGTTCTTTGAGACATGCAACATTCCTTCATAATTTTGCGACTTTTATTTGAACCTAAGATCTTTTAAGTCATATCTGAGTTCTCTACCCGCACACCGTGTTTGCTCGTTGAACACTTATTCATTTATATTTGTGTGTGTCTCCAAAATCTCTCCATCTCAGGTCCTGAAGGCCAAGTGCAGTGAGCAGGACATTGTGCTGTGGAAGTCTGTCTACATGGGTTCGTCGCTGCACATCAGCCAGACAGACTTTCACAGTGAGGCCAGCCCAGCAGCTGCAGGCAGCAGATCGGACCTGGCCGCATCTGGTGGGATGCTTAGATCCAAGTAAGGATGTATGTGAGATTTTTATGCTGATTTCATTGCTTTATTACACAAAAAAAACATAACACACTTTTAAAAATCACTCTGTGTGTGAGTGAGAGAAAGAGAGACTGTTTCTCTCTGTGTGTATGTGGCTGCTTGTGTGTGTGTGTGTGTCTCTCTATCTGTTTATGTCTTTGTGTGTAAGTGTGTGTCTGTGTGTGTGTGTATGTGTCTGTGTGGGTGTGTGGCTGCATGTGTATCTTTGAATGTGTGTGTGTGTGTGTGAGAGAGAGATAGAGAGTGAGTAAGTGACCGAGTGAGTGTGTTTGCATGTGTGTGTGGGTGTGTGCGCATGCATTTGACCACCCATGCTATTCTATTTTTGCTTCATATTCATAATATGCATTTTATATGAACATAACATGCTTTATTGATAAAAAACAACTGCTGTGTGAAAGACGGGTGTTTGGAAGGGCTGAATGCAAGACGGCCTGCATGCCCAATTTGTGACCCTTTGAAAATAAAGTTTGTTCATTCTCTCTCTCTCTCTCTCTCTCTCTCTCCCTCCCTCCCACCCCCTCTCTCTTTCTCTCTCTCTCTCTTCCTCCCTCCCTCCCCCTCTCTCTTTCTCTCTCCCCCCCCTCTCTCTTTCTCTCTCCCCCCCCCTCTCTCTCTCTCATTCAGAACTGGCATCACCAACTCAGGACATTGACATTAGCACTCCATCCCCATCTTTAGCAGCCGGCACAGAGCTCTAACTCTAATGGTACCAGTAGCCATCTCTCTGTTTGTAAGTCCATTTTGCCTGACTCTCTGATTGTAAGTCCATTTTGCCTGACTCTCTGATTGTAAGTCCATTTTGCCTGACTCTCTGATTGTAAGTCCATTTTGCCTGACTCTCTGATTGTAAGTCCATTTTGCCTGACTCTCTGATTGTAAGTCCATTTTGCCCGACTCTCTGATTGTAAGTAAGTCCGTTTTGCCTGACTCTCTGATTGTAAGTCCGTTTTGCCTGACTCTCTGATTGTAAGTCCATTTTGCCTGACTCTCTGATTGTAAGTAAGTCCGTTTTGCCTGACTCTCTGATTGTAAGTAAGTCCGTTTTGCCTGACTCTCTGATTGTAAGTCCATTTTGCCTGACTCTCTGATTGTAAGTAAGTCCGTTTTGCCTGACTCTCTGATTGTAAGTCCGTTTTGCCGGACTCTCTGATTGTAAGTCCGTTTTGGCTGTTCTCTGAGCGTTGAGTGTCGGCCGGATCTCCAGGTCACCCTTCTTCTTCTTCTTCTTCCTTTCTATCCCTCAATAAAGCATAGGCCCTCAACCAACTCACGCGAAGTTGTTTTATCCTTCGCTATTACATGGAGCTCTCCCCATGTCCTGCCCATCTTTCTAACTTCATTCTCACGCTCTCTTTTCCGTGTGTTTTTTTAGACACCCTTCGCTGCACTCAAACAGTTTGATGTGGTAAATATAGAAAGAGAAGAAGTGAAGTCGAAGTTCTTTTATGAATGTAACCACTAGGTTTTTAAAAATTTAATTGATGTAAAAATTAGCAGTCCACTCCCATGGCTACTATTATCATCATCAATCAGGTGCCATCTTCACAGTGAAGGTTGGCTGCAATGGATCTCCAAAACTCAGACTGCTGCATGTCCATCTCTTGATATTGTTATCCTCCCACTTGTATCGTTTCCTACCTCTTGCTGTCTTGCCTCTGAGCTTTCCCTCCAGTACGATTTTTAAAAGTGTGTTATGTCTTTTAATGAGGCCAGAGTATTTCATTTGTCTCTTTATAAATTTCTTTCAGTAATTCTCTTTTCATTTGTAGCCTTTCAAGAACCTCTGCATTGGACTGTTTATGTTTCCGTGAAATAAGACCTAGTCTTTTGAACATCCACTTCTCCATAGACTCAAGTTTAACTTTCTAGTTGCTTGTGATTGCCCAAGTCTCTGCACCATATAGCAGCACTGAGTATACAAATCAGCACAGAGAAACATCTCATACAAAGCATATTCATTCCCACCCTCTGCTATCAGTGCCAGACCTGGTCACTCACAACAAAACATTAAAGAAAATTAGTAACCATGGAAATTAGGTGTCTGAGAAAGACTATAGGAGTGACCAGGGGAGATAAAATTACGAATGAAGTCATATGAGATAAAGTCAACACAGAACCAATTCTGAATTACATACAAGGACAGCAGATCAAATGGTTTGGCCACTTGGAGAGAATGCCTGCTGATGCTATACATTACAAGGCATATACGAAAAGAGGAGAAGGACATGGAGCAAAAAGTAGACCGAGAAAAATATGGGAAGATAACATCAGAGAAACTCTACAGCCCACAGTGTATCTGAATGAAGCCAGAAGAGCACAAAGCAGGACCCTATATCTCCCTCGAAACCCGGAGCGGTAAAAGAGGATGTAAAGAAGAAGAAGAGTATACATAACATTTGATGATCATCATTTTTATATCAGCTGCTCATTGTTGTTTTTGTAGGTTGTCAGACGACCTGTCAGAAGTCAGCATCAGCAGTGGACACAAAGATATTGTTCAGGATCAAGAATTGACGCCAGCTTTAGCAGCGGCAGCAGCAGCAGATCTAGGCATGGGCCATGTTTATAACATCTCGTCTTCTACTGAACTCTTGCACTGTCCTGGAGAAACCCCACAAGCTGATAGAAAGACTCTGGGTGCACCAGAGGAGGATTTTCTAGAGAATAGTGATCCAGATTCTGCAGGCACAGTAAAGGAGAATTGTCCAGATTCTGCAGTCATAGTGAAGGAGAATTGTTCAGATTCTGTAGTCATTGTGAAGGAGAATTGTCCAGATTCTGCAGGCACAGTGAAAGAGAATTGTCCAGATTCTGCAGGCACAGTGAAGGAGAATTTTCCAGATCCTGCAGGCATAGTGAAGGAGAATTGTCCAGATTCTGCAGGCACAGTGAAGGAGAATTGTCCAGATACTGTAGGCACAGTGAAGGAGAATTTTCCAGATCCTGCAGGCACAGTGAAGGAGAATTGTCCAGATCCTGCAGGCACAGTGAAGGAGAATTGTCCAGATTCTGCAGGCACAGTGAAGGTGAATTGTCCAAATTCTGCAGACACAGTGAAGGAGAATTACCCAGATTATGTGGTTACATTGAAGAATTGTCAAGATTCTGTGGGTACACTGAAGGAGAATTGTCCAGATTCTGTGGGTACACTGAAAGAGAAGTGTCCAGATTCTGCAGGCACAATGAAGAAGAAATGTCCAGATTCTGCTGGCACAGGGAATGAGAATTGTCCAGATTCTGCAGGTACAGTGAAGGAGAATTGTCCAGATTCTGTGGGTACACTGAAGGAAAATTGTCCAGATTCTGCAGGCACAGTGAAGGAAAATGGTCCAGATTCTGCAGGCACAGTGAAGGAAAATGGTCCAGATTCTGCAGGCACAGTGAAGGAAAATTGTCCAGATTCTGAAGGCACAGTGAAAAATTGTCAAGATTCTGTGGGCACACTAAAGGAGAATTGTCCAGATTATGCGGGTACACTGAAGGAGAATTGTCCAGATTCTGCACAGGAACTGAGAGAGGATTTTCACAGGTGAAGGAAAGAGACTTGTCCAAATTCTGCAGGTGAACAAAGGAGAATGAAGAATGAGAATTTTTTCCTGACTTTGTCAGTACAGTGAGGGAGATTTTTGAAGATAATTTTTGCACACTGAAGGATAATTTTCCAGATTCTGCCATCACACTGAAGAAGAATTTTCCAGATTCTGCCAGCTCACTGAAGGAGAATTTTCCAGATTCTGACAGCACACTGAAGGAGCATTTTCCAGATTCTGCAGGCACACTGGTGAATAATTTTCCAGATTCTGCAAGTACAGTTAGTGAGAATTTTTCACACTTTACACTAAAGGAGAATTTTCCAGATTCTGACAGCACACTGAAGGAGAATTTTCCAGATTCTGACAGCACACTGAAGGAGAATTTTCCAGATTCTGACAGTAGACTGAAGGAGAATTTTTCAGGCTCTGTTTGTGCAGTGGAGGATAATTTTCCTGACTCTGCAAGTGCAGTGAGGGAGAATTTTTCAAACTTTACACTGAAGGATAATTTTCCAGATTCTACCAGCACACTGAAGGATAATTTTCCAGATTATGCCATGATACTGAAGGATAATTTTTCAGACTCTATGGATGCACTTGAGAATTTTCCTGACTCTGCAGGTACAGTGAAGGGGAATTTTCTAGACTCTACAGGCACACCACAGGAAGGTTTTCCAGAATCCTCAGAAATAATGAACCGTGGTGTCTTCATTGACACTGAATATTTGTCAGAGAAAGTTGTACCCACTTCCTTTGGTGGTTGTTCATTAGGAATAACTTTGCCTACACAAAGCATCAACCAGAGCTCAGTCCTAGCTCCACTGCTGGGGTTGAAAATATTATTCTGAAAGAAAGCTTTCGAAGACCTGAGGACTCTCAAAGACCTATCATGAATTCCACTAATTTGTGTAGTTCCTGTAAAGACTGTGATAGCGAAATTCATTGTGGCTTCGAAGGGACTACCTGTCGCAGTTGTGACCTGTCTTTGTTTAATTCCTTAGATTTTTTCAAAAGGAATAACTTTAATAGTTCCGGAGCTTGTGCTGGCAATGATGTGTCCTTGGATACCTTCCCAGATAAAGTAGAGGGGAAAAACTTGATGTCACCTTCAAAGTCATGCTACACAAATCCTTTGGAATTTACCATCAGCCATGAAAGTCTCTTGCCAGCCGCAGCTCATACCCCTTCATCACCATTATTATCTTTGCATGTGTCGTCCAAGAAGCGTGATAACCACCCAGCGGAGAAAAATGATGACTTTTGTGAGTCAGATTTGTTGTCGAGGCTATCAGGGACAGCAGTGGGTGCCAGTCAGGGTTTGAATTCATCCGCCACTTGCCCTTGCAGCAGGCCGGAGGCTGGTGACAGGCGTCATGTCAACGGAAGTGAGGTGATATTCAGAAGGTTGCTGCAGGCAAGTGTGGCAACAAGCACCACGGATACCAGTGATTTCAGCATTGGCCAGGTAATTGAGTTTCTTCCTCTTCTTCTTCCTCCTCCTCCTTATGTTATGTTATATGTCAGAAGAAATACAGAAAGCAGCACTACGTACACGAGGCAGTTACTACGCTTGTAATTCATCATCATCAAGTGTGTAAAATGCCTGAATTCTTTTTCTGAGGAATTTATTGCCTAAGATGTTCTTAATTTTTGTTTAAGTGTAGTTTTTGCCTACATACAAAATGTCACAGGGACAAAAAAGCCAAACTTAAATATAGCAGGAGAGTGCAAAGATACTAAACAGGCATATGAATTTTAATGTCTGAGAACAGTGTTCACCAAAGAAAGTAAATTGGATGAAGATATTAACATCTGATGCATTGAAGCAAGCCAAGTACTGGGACTACAGGCGTGAAGGGTAATGAGCGAGCAGATCAACTGGCGAGCATTGCACCAACACATGTGGGATGAAGCATGGACAGAGCAACTATTGTCAATGCTGTACGGTCTGGGCTAGTGGATAAAGACAAATCTCTTGACACTAACATGATTGCGTGACAAGGGATTAAAGCATGGTGAAGCACGTCTATGACGCCTTCAAGGCCGAGCAAGGAGACATTATAACCAACCTCTCATGGGAACAATTAGTAGAAGTACCTTGGAGTGGCTGCTGCATCAGAGGACTGAGCATGCATGGGAATGCCCACTGTGCAGTGATGTCGATTGTGAAAACATAAGATAACATAGCTGGGAGTATAGGGTGGGAATGAATATGCTTTGTGTGAGATGTCTCTTTGTGCTGGTCAGGATTGTCTTATGCTGTTTATCTCTGTGAAATATAACATTCCCCCCCCCCTTTGTTTGACCAAGTGGTGTAATTATGTTGGGCCTGTTTACAACATAGCTGCGAAATATCTCCATAGATCATCTGTCTTTGGTGTCCTGGATGCCACTGTCTTCAGCCATCCACCATCAGTGGCATGGCAGAATATCATCAGTGGCATGGCAGAATATCATCAGTGGCATGGCAGAATATCATCAGTGGCATGGCAGAATATCATCAGTGGCATGGCAGAATATCATCAGTGGCATGGCAGAATATCATCAGTGGCATGGCAGAATATCATCAGTGGCATGGCAGAATATCATCAGTGGCATGGCAGAATATCATCAGTGGCATGGCAGAATATCAGTGGCATGGCAGAATATCATCAGTGGCATGGCAGAATATCATCAGTGGCATGGCAGAATATCATCAGTGGCATGGCAGAATATCATCAGTGGAATTGATCCAGAACACCAAAGACCGCAATCTGTGGAGATGCAGGAACTATACACTTTCAGACTGCATCGTTATTTAATTAAATTTATTGCATCATTTATAAAACAAACCAAAAAAAAAGAAATAAAAAAACTTCTGCTTTGGTGCATCCATAGCCTTCTCAGTTTCTCGTGGCAACACCCACTGTGAAACACCAGCCAAGAATAAAGAAACACATCGATGTGGATGGATTGACCATGTTCTGTGACGAACGACAGGACTTGGTGGCTGAACTTCTTTCTGAGAAAGACTCCAGAATTTTGGACTTGGAGCGACAACTGAGTCAGGCACGACAGAAGTATATCCGTATGTTGAAGAGATGCAGGGGCTGGCAACTGCAGGCCTCTCTGTGTGGTAATCTTGTAAGTAGCAAATTTGTAGCAAATTACAGAGTAATTTTTCTCAGTTGTAAATATAGACTAGGAGCTAGAGCATACTACAGCAGACTACAAGGCAAGAGGCTGACCAAGACAGTGATGGGTAGAGTTACAGAGAAACTGCAAAAACGCAGTGTGACATTAACACATACGCAGTCAGCTAAGGACAAGAAAACATCTAACTGGTCTCTGCAATGCCTAATGGCATAAGTAATAGGAAAAAGAAGAGGTAAAATGTTCAATGTTGAATTAGGAATCTACATCATAGCACTTAGGAGACTCCAGTAAGCGATCCGTCCCCATCTTCAACAGCAAGCCAAGAGTTCCAATCCCGATGGTACTAGTAACTATCTGTTTGTACATCCGTTTCACTTTTCCCTTGAGTTTCGAGCGTCGGCCAGATCCTCTGGTAACTTCTTGCAGTGTCATTTTCCTCAGACCCTAATAATCTATTTGTACCTCTGCACTGTTCATTCATTCCCAAAGGGCCCTCACAACATCCTTTTCATACATCAGTTTACCATCAAGTGGTGCAGAACTAGCCAGTCTATCTGCCTGTTCATTACTTAACACACCAGCATGGCCTGGAGAAAATATCCAAAGGATGCTAACTACCTGGGACCTCTGAAGTGATGCTTGCCACTCTGCAAGGAGCATGCCTGTCTCCACCTTTCTCAACATGCTCTGTGAGTCAGTCACAATCACGGCATGTGTGTACAGCTGATTCTCAAGACAGTGAAAGGCGGCAGTGACTGCCTCCACCTCCATTCTCAAACTAGATGTTGAGGTGTCATATTCCAGGCTTTGTTGCATTAGGCCACGTCCATTACTTTTGCTATGAACCCCCACGCACTTCATCTTCCTCTCAGCACATCTGTATCGATAAAATAGAAGAGGTAAATGTAGACCAAAAACAAAAAAAAAAGACTCAACAGATTGCACAAATTACTTCCTAGAATATTTAGCTGTATTTTTTTTTCTGTTCCTTATTTTTTCCTTTCAGCTTCTGGTCCAAGCCTTGGTGTGTGCTACGTAGCTGCTGGCATTCAAGGCCTCATATATTCTGTCTATCTAAAGCTTGAGTAGACAATCTCTTGTTCTGCTTCCATTGTGTCTTAGTGACAGGACTGTCTGTGGTACATTATCTCTTGAGACATGTCCAAACCATTTAATCTTTTGTTTCATTATATCATTTAGCACAGGGTCTTGATATCATTGTTTTTTGTGTGTGTGTGTGTTTTAAAAAAATCCTGTCTCTTGTTACATTCTGTAATCTTTCTTCGCTTTCTAATCTCATTGGGTCGGGAGTGCTGGGACTGGCCAGCAGGTTCTGCGGAATCAGAAATTCAAATACTGATTCATGATCATTCCTACTTTGGTAATGTCTTCTTCTTCTTCTTCTTCTTCTTCTTCTTCTTCTTCTTCTTTGCATTCACCAGCTGAAAACTGGTGAAAAGTTCTGGTTGTTCACCCACTTCTGGACTGCAGTCCTGTTATAGAACCTGAGTGTTGCGTGTGCATTTGTTTGACAGATCTGACTAATTTGTATGCAGACTTGGTTCCTTGCCTCTCAGACAGATGCACCCTGACTTCGAAGGAAGCTCCCATTTAGTCGACAATTGCGACATGCTTTTGGGGAGGCCATAGGTCTATTCTTGTTTTCCCTATAATAGGGCCCTGGAACCCACACAGTGATTATCTACACGATTGTCTCTCAACCTTCCTAATGCTGCGACCCTTTAGTGTCTCTCAACCTTCCTAATGCTGCGACCCTTTAGTGTCTCTCAACCTTCCTAATGCTGCGACCCTTTAGTGTCTCTCAACCTTCCTAATGCTGCGACCCTTTAGTGTCTCTCAACCTTCCTAATGCTGCGACCCTTTAGTGTCTCTCAACCTTCCTAATGCTGCGACCCTTTATTAGTTTGAGTTTGTCATGTTGTGGTGACCCCCAACCATACAATTATTTTTGCCGCTACTTCATAACTTCAATGAATATAAGTTTTCCGATGGTCTTAGGTGACCCCTATGAAAGAATTTTCGACCCCCAAAAAGGGTCCCGATTCACAAGTTGAGAACCACTGATCTACACTGATGGCTCTGTGTTGAGGGGCAGAAGACGTGTATGGATGTTCATAACAAACGCGAATGGACAACCTTTATGTTGTACTCTTGTAATTTCCCCTGTGTAGATTATAGGCACATAGAGCACTTGTTTAGATTACTTCACACAATGTTTAGTTTTCTGCACTGATACTTCGCAGTATCTGAAAACCAATTAAGTATGTAGGCCCAGGGTGCCTACGCTGATATGCCACTGGATCTCCCCTTGATGAATGTTTTGCTAATACTTGCAGTCCTGCATAATTCAACACCTGGGCACACGTGGCCCAGCACCAGCTAATACCACCCTGACTATCTCAAAGTGCCAACAATAACGCATGCGGCCAGCCACATTAACTTGAATATCATTCACATAAAGTAACACATCACAAGATAATGATGATAATGTATATATAAGTCTTTTTTCATTGGTGATCTTAACAATTAAAACACTTCACTCAGCATACTCTTCATGCCATCTGAAGCTAAAACAGACATCAGATGGTCTCCCGCTAACATCTTCCTCACTAAGAGAAATATACTAGAACATCCTCATAAAGAGAACAGATCGCACAGCCTTTCTGTAAACCTGTAGAAAATGTCTGACTTGGACGGTTAACCAGACCTCAACTCCAGCTCCCAACAGACTCTCCTTCTGACTTATCTACCCAGAATTCAATTGTCTAATTATTAAATTGACCTATTCTAACAGGGTAATGGGTTTTCAAGTACAACACAAATTCCTTTTCATAGTTCATACCCTACAAAAAATAAAATTCTTCTGTTCTTCTGATATCTAGCAGTGGTTTTCAACCTTTTTTAGGCAGCGCCCTCTTTGAATCTGTGGCAAGACCCCCCTCTCCCCCCGGCACTGACTCCAAACAAAATTATTAACAAGAAAGGGTATATAGAAAGTATGGGGACACATTTTGGTCAGAATGTGTTTCTAATCTTTAATGAGTGCTTGTGTTATATCTCATTAATTAGATTTTTAATGGTAGATGTACTAACTGCTCATGAAAACAAATTGTTCTTGATGTTTTATGTTATACATATTTTAAAAATATCTAGAATTAAACTGGAGGAAAAAGGTAAGTGTAGCAGAACAAGAACAACTGCACTCATCTGTACTGTTGCTTGACGGTTCCTGGTGTTATCATTCTTCCATAAAAACCACATCTCATTTTCCACATAAGTACTCACTAAGCTACTGACTTCATGATGTTCTCGTCATTTCTTTGTTAAACCATGTCTTATCATCTTCCACATAATTTGTCACTAATCTACTGAAGGGGATTCTTTGTAAAATCACATCCCTTTGTCTTCCACATAATTTCCCACTAATCTACCGAAGGGGATGTTCTCATCAGTTCCCTGTAAAACCACATCTTATAATTTCCACATAATTTCTCACTAATCTACCGAAGGGGATGTTCTCATAAGTTCCCTGTAAAACCATGTCTTATCATCTTCCACATAATTTCTCACTAATCTACCGAAGGGGATGTTCTCATCAGTTCCCTGTAAAACCACGTCTTATCATCTTCCACATAATTTCTCACTAATCTGCTGAAGGGGATGTTCTCATGATTTCTCTATAAAACCCCATCACAAGATAATGAAGATAATGTATATATAAGTCTATTTTCATTGGTGATCTTAACAATTAAAACACTTCACTCAGCATACTCATCATGCCATCTGAAGCTAAAACAGACATCAGATGGTCTCCCGCTAACATCTTCCTTACTAAGAGAAATATACTAGAACATCCTCATAAAGAGAACAGATCGCACTGATGTTCTCATCATTTCTCTATAAAAACTATAAAAACCACACGCTTCCACATAATTTCTCACTAATTTACTGACTTCGTGGTGTTCTCATCATTTCTGTATAAAACCACATCTCACCGTCTTCCACATAATTTCTCACTAATCTCCTTACTGTCTGTGATCTCCGACAGATGGCTGATTCAAACAGAAGTCAATGGAGCACCCTGGGCTCTGCCTCTGATGCCAGTTGTGAGACCCTGGATGAGTCAGTAAGAACTGTGTTGCCATGGGTGACAGACCTGACTGTGACTCAATGTGCTGGATGTGCTGCTCAGTTTGGGATGTCAAGATGGAAGCACCACTGTTGGTTAGTTGTGATGTTTGTTCACTGTTGGTTAGTTGTAATGTTGTTTGTTCACTGTTGGTTAGTTGTGATGTTGTTTGTTCACTGTTGGTTAGTTGTGATGTTGTTTGTTCACTGTTGGTTAGTTGTGATGTTTGTTCACTGTTGGTTAGTTGTGATGTTGTTTGTTCACTGTTGGTTAGTTGTGATGTTTGTTCACTGTTGGTTAGTTGTAATGTTGTTTGTTCACTGTTGGTTAGTTGTGATGTTGTTTGTTCACTGTTGGTTAGTTGTGATGTTTGTTCACTGTTGGTTAGTTGTAATGTTGTTTGTTCACTGTTGGTTAGTTGTGATGTTGTTTGTTAACTGCTGGTTAGTTGTGATGTTGTTTGTTCACTGTTGGTTAGTTATGATGTTGTATGTTCACTGTTGGTTAGTTGCAATGTTGTTTGTTCACTGTTGGTTAGTTGTAATGTTGTTTGTTCACTGTTGGTTAGTTGTAATGATGTTTGTTCACTGTTGGTTAGTTGTGATGTTGTTCACTGTTGGTTAGTTGTGATGTTGTTTGTTCACTGTTGGTTAGTTATGATGTTGTATGTTCACTGTTGGTTAGTTGCGATGTTGTTTGTTCACTGTTGGTTAGTAGTAATGTTGTTTGTTCACTGTTGGTTAGTTGTAATGATGTTTGTTCACTGTTGGTTAGTTGTGATGTTGTTCACTGTTGGTTAGTTGTGATGTTGTTTGTTCACTGTTGGTTAGTTGTGATGTTGTTTGTTCACTGTTGGTTAGTTGTGATGTTGTTTGTTCACTGTTGGTTAGTTGTGATGTTGTTTGTTCACTGTTGGTTAGTTGTAATGTTGTTGTTCACTGTTGGTTAGTTGTGATGTTATTTATTCACAAGTCATTGTTGGTTAGTTGTGCCCGACGCATCAGCCGTGCGCCACCATGAGCATTAACACTGCAGGTGATCTCTCGTAGTTCCGGTGGCCCCCAGAGTGAGGGTCGGTGTGGCAATCACCCGCCCTCCAAACCTTGGGTGAGAATGTTATCAAAACTCATTAGGAGATAGTTTGCCAAACATACAGCCAAAATTACCACTTGGTTAAAGACTGCGTAGTAACAGAGAACAGTGTTCCTCCTCGATTAACCCTCGTGTCCGTCGTCACCCGCGCTGAGGTACACCACAACAGCAACCATCCATAGGCTTGACCATTCTTGTACATCCTCGATCCCCCAGTGTCGTCGTCATGATTTACACCACACAGTGGCTGGCCATTCATGTCAATCACGTTTCGTGTCGTCCGGTGAGGACACCACAAACAGCAAAACCATCCATCGGATGGCAAGCCTAAATGTCCGACAAAACTAGATCCTACGGATCAAAATTTGTATTGAACTGAAAAAAGACCGAAATGTCCACACCCAAAGACCCCACTCCCCCGAGTGTAGGGACAAACTGATAACGATATGCCTGATGCAGGATGTCAAATTCTATCGGGCTAGCGGCTCGTCAAAGAAATCTAACGTGCAAGAAAAAAGAATGTGTACCTACTGTGTGGTCACAAAAGTCCAAAACCCACGGGCTGCTCCCCCGCTGCTGACTTTTTCAGAGGGCACAACCCCTGTCGAGCGGGAGGCCTGATACGGTTGTGAGTTAAGCAGGCATGTGCAGGACGTGACGATTCCTTGGGTGAGCCCAGAACAAGAGCGCCATAGTGCCGGCTCTGCATGCATGGAAGCCCTCCTTGGATGGCGGGGAATGCCCATGATCTGCCCCTGCCTTCCCTTGAGGGCTAACTGTTCCACAGGAGGCTGCCCAAAGGTTACTCCGTGGGCAAAGCTACTGCGGGAAGGAGACAAAGTGGACACCACACAAATCAGGCAAACGTCTCGACACACACAAAACAATGGCCACAGTCACCCTAGAAATAGGCCTGACGTTTTCCTTCGAAGTCGGAGTACAGCTGCCCATGAGGCAGGGAAATGAAAAACGGTTGTACACGCAAAAATCAGGTCCAGGTGAAAGCCAAAAGTCCAAGCGGACGATTAACCTGGACCTTCCACTGGAATTCACAGCCGGTGTTCGATAAAAAAAAACCAAAAAAAAAACTGTAGGTTAGTTGTGATGTTTGTTCACTGTTGGTTAGTTGTGATGTTGTTTGTTCACTGTTGGTTAGTTGTGATTTGTTTGTTCACTGTTGGTTAGTTGTGATGTTTGTTCACTGTTGGTTAGTTGTAATGTTGTTTTTTCACTGTTGGTTAGTTGTGATTTGTTTGTTCACTGTTGGTTAGTTGTGATGTTTGTTCACTGTTGGTTAGTTGTGATGTTTGTTCACTGTTGGTTAGTTGTGATGTTTGTTCACTGTTGGTTAGTTGTAATGTTGTTTGTTCACTGTTGGTTAGTTGTGATTTGTTTGTTCACTGTTGGTTAGTTGTGATGTTGTTTGTTCACTGTTGGTTAGTTGTGATGTTTGTTCACTGTTGGTTAGTTGTGATGCTCTGTGTTCACTGTTGGTTAGTTGTGATGTTTGTTCACTGTTGGTTAGTTGTGATGTTGTTTGTTCACTGTTGGTTAGTTGTAATGTTGTTTGTTCACTGTTGGTTAGTTGTAATGTTGTTTGCTCACTGTTGGTTAGTTGCGATGCTCTGTGTTCACTGTTGGTTAGTTGTGATTTTTTTGTTCACTGTTGGTTAGTTGTAATGTTGTTTGTTCACTGTTGGTTAGTTGTAATGTTGTTTGTTCACTGTTGGTTAGTTGTAATGTTGTTTGTTCACTGTTGGTTAGTTGTGATGCTCTGTGTTCACTGTTGGTTAGTTGTGATTTTTTTTGTTCACTGTTGGTTAGTTGTTATGTTGTTTGTTCACTGTTGGTTAGTTGTTATGTTGTTTGTTCACTGTTGGTTAGTTGTAATGTTGTTTGTTCACTGTTGGTTAGTTGTAATGTTGTTTGTTCACTGTTGGTTAGTTGTGATGTTGTTTGTTCACTGTTGGTTAGTTGTAATGTTGTTTGTTCACTGTTGGTTAGTTGTAATGTTGTTTGTTCACTGTTGGTTAGTTGTGATGTTTGTTTGTTCACTGTTGGTTAGTTGTAATGTTGTTTGTTCACTGTTGGTTAGTTGTAATGTTGTTTGTTCACTGTTGGTTAGTTGTAATGTTGTTTGTTCACTGTTGGTTAGTTGTAATGTTGTTTGTTCACTGTTGGTTAGTTGTAATGTTGTTTGTTCACTGTTGGTTAGTTGTGATGTTGTTTGTTCACTGTTGGTTAGTTGTAATGTTGTTTGTTCACTGTTGGTTAGTTGTAATGTTGTTTGTTCACTGTTGGTTAGTTGTAATGTTGTTTGTTCACTGTTGGTTAGTTGTGATGTTGTTTGTTCACTGTTGGTTAGTTGTAATGTTGTTTGTTCACTGTTGGTTAGTTGTGATGCTCTGTGTTCACTGTTGGTTAGTTGTGATTTTTTTTGTTCACTGTTGGTTAGTTGTAATGTTGTTTGTTCACTGTTGGTTAGTTGTGATTTTTTTTGTTCACTGTTGGTTAGTTGTGATGTTTTTTGTTCACTCTTGGTTAGTTGTTATGTTTTTTGTTCACTGTTGGTTAGTTGCTATGTTTTTTTGTTCACTGTTGGTTAGTTGCTATGTTTTTTTGTTCACTGTTGGTTAGTTGCTATGTTTTTTTGTTCACTGTTGGTTAGTTGCTATGTTTTTTTGTTCACTGTTGGTTAGTTGCTATGTTTTTTTGTTCACTGTTGGTTAGTTGCTATGTTTTTTTGTTCACTGTTGGTTAGTTGCTATGTTTTTTTGTTCACTGTTGGTTAGTTGCTATGTTTTTTTGTTCACTGTTGGTTAGTTGTGATGTTTATTGTTTACTGTTGGTTAGTTGTGATGTTGTTTGTTCACTGTTGGTTAGTTGTTATGTTTTTTTGTTCACTGTTGGTTAGTTGCTATGTTTTTTTGTTCACTGTTGGTTAGTTGCTATGTTTTTTTGTTCACTGTTGGTTAGTTGTGATGTTTATTGTTTACTGTTGGTTAGTTGTGATGTAATTTTATTCACTGTTGGTTAGTTGTGATGTAATTTTATTCACTGTTGGTTAGTTGTGATGTAATTGTGTTCACTGTTGGTTAGTTGTGATGTAATTTTATTCACTGTTGGTTAGTTGTGATGTAATTGTGTTCACTGTTGGTTAGTTGTGATGTAATTTTATTCACTGTTGGTTAGTTGTGATGTAATTGTGTTCACTGCTGGTTAGTTATGATGTAATTGTGTTCACTGTTGCTTAGTTGTGTTTTTCTCCTGGGTTTTTTGGGGATTGTGGGGGGGGGGGGGGGGGGGGGGGGGGGGGGGGGGGGGGGGGGGGGGGTGGGGGTGGCGATGACATAAAAAGTTTGTGGGTGTAATGTTTGTCTTTTGTTTGCTTTTCTGACAAACATAAGAGCTGGGGTTGACAGAGAAGTGATGGTTTGGGAGCTGTGATGAGTGTGAGGCTAAGATGGGTGTAAAAAAAAACATAAGAAGTATGGGTCTAGCAGAGAAGTGATGGTTTGGGAGCTGTGATGAGTGTAAAAAGTGTGAAGGATGTGTGTGTGGGAAGTGTAGTGTATTTAAGCTGTGAACGTTTGGAGGTGGATGAACACCTAGAGCTTTCTGCCAGAGTTTACAGCCCCTGAACATGAAGGAGAAGAAGAAGATATTCTGGTTTGATAGTGTCTTTTTTACTCCCTTACCCAATCCCATTCTTGGTCGGCCTCTCAATCTGCTGTTTAGAGACCAAGAAAAGTAGAAATACTGACATTCTTCAAGGGTCTCAATGTGGAGGGGGAATGGTTCATAAACAGGTTCGTTTCTGAACACTAAAATACTTTGGATATCACACACCTTAATGGTCCAGAAAGAACAGTGACAGAAGTTATTATGGTTTGTGAAAAAAAAAGAGGAAGGAAAAGACCAGCATAGCGTAGACATTATTTATTGAGATATTTTACTGAAGCTCTGTTGTAATGAATCCACAGAATGACCACACTGGGGTCTCTGCAAGAAAAACTCACTGACTGTCCGGCCAGCTAAAGCTTTTGTGGCATGTGTCAATAAAGGAAATGAATACTAATCAGAAAAAAAAAAGATGTGGAAGGCAAGAGCCGTAGCCAGGATTTTTTCCCCCCTAAAAAAAAATAAAAGGTGCCAGTATTTGCCACAAAATGTATAAAAAAGGTGCTGGTACTCTCCACAGAGTGTCTAATACATCAGTACTGAAAAGAAAAAACGTATGAAATGATGCCCTGTACTATGCACCGTACATGTACCGCCAGATAAAAAAAAACATGTATGAAACGATGCCCAGTACTATGTACCGTACATGTACCGCCAGAAAAAAAAAGGCCCCTGACTGTAACTCAAAAATATTAGATAAAGCATTACTAGACGTTAAGTCACTTAGGCATTTTGGACTCTATTAGACAGATAAAGCAGTTCTCAAGAGATTTACTGACTGTGTCATTGGAGTGATTAGACTGCTATTAACAGCAGTCGGAAGTCTCCCAGGCTAATTGGTTAAGTCATTTATTTGAAGCTGTGAAGGTATTGTGTTGGTATCATGGGCAGCAGGGTTCAGTTTTTTAGAGGCACTTCAAACTTTATTTCTGCAGCTTGCTGTGTTACACATGTACTGGTGTTACCTTTCCTTTGGAGCAAACAAGGCATGTCGAGAGAGAGAGAGATCATAATGTACGGATAACATGTGGTCTCTTTAATACTCCACAGGCTTTTTGCCAAGGAAAGATGTGTGCAAGTGGGATATGAATGATGAGGTATTGAGTTGGACTTATGGGAACAAAATGCCATGGACCGTGTTGTGTGGAGGGGACACATCAGGATGGAAAAGAGATTAAAGGAAAAAGTGATTGCAGAAAGGTTGAGAGCTGAGCGCCTTAGAAGAAAGACACTAAACACAAACGATGACAAGGGTCCTAACATTTCGTGTTATCATTGTGGACGACTTTTCTTAACACGGGCGAGTCACACTCATCGTTGCCATGTGAGTCCCATGCCTTCTTATTTAAAAAAAAAAAAAGTAAAGGGCCTTTTTCCAGGCCTTTAGGTGTATAGGGCATATAGGGCTAGACCTATATTTAATAGACCAGATTTGCACAAAATGTGTGACATGGTCAGCATCACGCCGGCCACCTTCACTTCCCGGGAATGCAGCCGGTACCCACTCAAGGCTGGGTCGACCTGGGAGATGCCTTCTCATAGCACAATATAACACTATCGTCTGGAAAGAGGGAAAGGTGCCTGTCAATCATCATACTTTGTACGTCAAAGTAGGGAGACTGAGCCATATGTGATAAGATTTGATGCTCTCAATTCTTTTCCCTTGGCTTTTAACTTTTAAGAAGAAAACTTGACACAAGTAATAATAGTGTCTGCTTTTCACAGCCTTACTGATTTGTGTCCCATTTCAGTTACTGTGTTAAATCTTTCTGTGGCGAATGTTCCACTGTCCTGACACGGGTAGCAGAATTCAGCAAACCAGAACAGTTTCACAAGAAACCAGAACGAATCTGTCAATGTTGCCATTCCCAGTTTCTCCAGCTGAGCCCAGGAGCTGCTTCCGACGGACGGGTCCCCACTCTTGCCGCAGATAGTTAAATTTGCAGTTCAGGACTAATTGCACAGTTTTGTGTGTGTTAATTGTTGTAGTTTGTTTATACTAAAACTAATTAATTTATTAAGCTGTAGGGTTTCTTTGTCATCATCATCATCATCGTTTGTATTTTCCAATATAACTTAGGGCTCACATTCGATTCTGTCATTCCATTTTATCCTGTGTGATCTGTTCTGATCTTTTCAGTAACACAAAATGGAATCCAGCTTGTGTGACACCTCTGGCCTCTGTTATCAGTGTTCATTGCAGGGTTTCTCTTGAACCCCCCATCTTCCTCAGTGAGTTTTTTTCCCCCATTATTTTTTTGGCAGGGCACATGATGATTCATATCCTGAACTCTTAAACATTTGCACAGGCAGGAAACAGTCAGTAGCATTAACTTTTACATCTCCTAAATGTCCTTATTGACAAGTCAGAAAAGTGACATTTATCCAGAATTGGACCCAACTAAAAGTGTTAGTTGTGTGACTTATCAGGGTGAAAGAATTAACTCTTTTGATACCATAAATTCAAAATATATTTGTAAATCAGTCTAAGGACAGTACACAATTCAAATTAAAAAAAAATCTTAGCTTTAACTCATAAACAGTTTTAACATCTGATGCAACATGCCTTGGAGAAATTAGAATAAGAATCACTGTACAAGTTGCAAAAGGTACTCACCAATAAGATGTCAGTTGCAGTGGGGGGAAAAAAGGGGTGGTGTTAAAGTGTTATGTAGAACCTGTGTTGTTTATATACAGCCGAGACATAAAGAATAAGCAGACGAGCTGAAAAACGGTTACTCGTGGCAGAAATGTGGTTTTTGAGAATAATGCAAAGAATATCATGGATTAGAAAACAAAACAAAACATTCCTCATCGAGATGGATGAAAGCCGTAAAATTTTTTCGAGCAACTAGACATAGTCGGTGTTGTTTAACCATGTTATGAGAAGGAACATACTTGAGAATTTGGTAATAACTGGCAAGATTGGTGGAAAGAAAGCAAGATGAAGGCAAAGAGATAAATATCTGGATAGTCTGGCAGTCTGGTAATCTTAGTGTTTCAGCGTCTTAGCAGACAGGTCACCCCATCTTTGCTCCACTCCTGTGCCAACGAAAAACACACAGAATGTTTATCACAGTCCCTTGTGGAAAGATTGACAGACTGCTTTCTCAGCATATCTAGCATACACTCGCATTAAAGCATACGGTAGCCATCCGAAGTGCTAACACAAACAGTCCAACATTAGAAATGCTGTTCATCGTTGATGATAGCAGAAGTCGCCAACAGATCAGCAGTTGCCCACGCGATCAATTTTAATCACATACTGGGACCACCAACATTGCGGCGACAGGCATCTACAATTCACACCACCACGATGGTCACAGTCGAAGGCCAGATGGATGGGTGCCAGTGTTTCCCAGTTGCTGGTCCACTGACCCTTGGGAGTCCCAGCATAAATTTAATGCGACCATGATATCATTTACAAAAGAAAAAAGAAAAACAGAAAGAAGCGCAAAACTTTAGAATGCATTAAAAAAAAAAAAGTATTGTTTTTGAGAGGCCCTTGGATCTTATTACATGTCCATACCACTGCATTTTTCAACTTGTTATTGTAGTTAAAAGAGGTATAGAAAAGGACCATTTAGGCATATATGGCTGGAGCTATATTTTATAGACCAATCGGCACTTGATGGGTAATGTGGTCAGCGTCACGCCGATATAGGGCCATATTTGTATAGAATTGTTGGCACTTGATGAATGTTGCCTTCAGCATCATGCCAGCCGCCTTTACTTCCACTGACTTCCTGGTAGTTATTTAAGGTTTTGTTTAACTGAGGGACTAGATTAGAAGGTACTTTCATTTTAGCTCACCCCTAACATAGTTACGATAGGAGACTCGCTTTGAAATCCAGCTGCGACTCGCTGCAGCCCACGGCCAGTGTTTAAAACCTTGCAGTTCCCGGGGTTCACCCAGCCTCTAGGTAATGGGTACCAGAGTTAACACTCTGGGGTAAATGGAGGAATGTCGCTGTAGCTACAGAGTTGCATGTGGACGGCAACACAGGCGGACAGTTTCTTATTAGATGTTTGTACTGGTGGCAGAGCACTTATGGTTTATAACCGTGTGAAAAAGACGCTGGTTCACATCTCCCGATTTGACCTAGACCTTTATAGTTAACCCTGGAATCCTTGGAAAGTTCACTGTTAAAGGGTTCTTATGGTTGGTATTACAGTTAGTGTTATGGTTGGTCTGTGTTCATTTCAAACTGTAACACCCCTATAGTATAGTATTGGACTTTCCTGGGTATGCCAGGGTTCCCCACGTTTAGAAAGAGCTAAATTGAAAGTGCCATTTATTTATAACAAATCCACCCGATGCAGATTTAAACCCACGAACTTGGGGTTGGCAGGCATATTTATGTAATATTTCAGAAAGGTGGAGACAGGTAGGCTCAGTGCAGAGTGGCAGGCGTCGCTTCAGAGATCCCCGCTAGTTAGCGTCCTTTGGATATTTCTTGTCAGGATATGCTGGTGTGTTGGCAAATGACAAGGCTTATAGATAAGCTGGTTCTGCACTAAATAGGTCATCACGGTCTGAAGAGAAAGTGCACTGAGGGGTAATTAAACAGATCTAGTCGACAACCATCACTCAGGAAAAGAATGAGACGGTCATACTTTCAGACTGTTACTGGTACCATCAGAATCGGAACTCTGCGCCTGCTGCTGAAGATGGGAGCAAAGCACTTATGGGAATGTCCTGAGTGCTGTGATATCGCTTCTCAACTCATAACTCATGTAACGCATCAGTTCTATGTTAACTTTTATGACTTGTTGACTGCTTGTTCTGACAACACTGTAACACACCAGTTCGCTGTTAACTTTTGTGGCTCACCGACTGCTTGTTTCGGCTGGGGCATCTCTGTTACAGATCAGTTCTGTGTTACTGTGGTCGCCATTACGACACTGTAACACATCAGTTCTATGTTACTTTGGTTGCCATGACGACACTGTAACACATCCATTCTCTGGTACTGTGGTTGCCATGACACTGCTTTGTTTTAGCCGTTGTTGGTTCTTCTTCTACATTAGCCCTCAAAATGGGGGTTTGCCACATTGTGTTGTAGTTTACAGCTAGGCTGCGATATCAGCATTGTTTGGCCCAAAACATGAAGTGTTATCAAATCCCCAGTTAGTTGCCTTCTATAACATGCTTGCTATGGGGCATTAGGCCTGTTTCCTCCTCCCCCCCCCCCCCTTTTTCCAATTACCCCATTCCTAAATGGGCCTGTAACCCCCACAGGAAGTTGGTTGTTGTAAATGTGAGAGGAGGGGGACACTTTCTTTATTCCAGGTTGCAACACTGAAACATTTCTTTGGTGTCATTCTTTTATCATGATACTTTGCATGTCATCAAATATCTTCTTTGTTTTATAAACATTATTCTCTATTTCATCATTATTATCGTCTGTGCCATCAGCACTAGTCTCTGTTTCCTGAACAACACCCTCTGTTCCATAATGTTTACCCCCTGTTTGATCAACATTACCTTTTATTTCAGTAACATTACAGCCCGTTTCATAATCAACAGTACTTTCTCTATTTCACCATTATTACCCTCTGTTTTTCATCACTCTCCTCTGTGCCATCACCAGTACCCTCTATTTCATGACCACTCACCCTTTTTCATCACCACTACCCCTGTTTTATCACCTCTACTCCCTGTTTCATCAACATTACCCCCTGTAACATCAACATTACCCCCTGTTTCATCACCGCTACCCTCAGTTTTGTCACCACTGCTTCCTGTTTCATCACCAGTCCTTGCTTCACCAGTGCTGTTGTACTGTTTCCTATTGACAGTGTTTTGTCTGTGAGATTTTCCAGTTCATGTGCAGACTGGTGGATGAATGTGCAATATACACTGTAGATCTCAGGAAAGTACTTGCTGTTTGGCTGAGGATACTCGCCTGTTTGGGAAACTTATGATACGTTTTTTGTGTGGTTCTGTTCTTATATTGTTACTGGTCATCATTTATCTGTCCTGCTTGCATATGTAACAGATGACAAAACTTATGTGGAGGATTTTTCATTAAATTTGGTCTTTCATATTTTTGTATGAATTTTGTTATTTTTAACATCCGTGTTTGTTAATCTCTTAGTTGAATGCAGAGAGACAGATTGTAAACAGGAAAGCATAATCTCTGTAAGTGTGTTGCATATAAAGCACATCGCAAACCAGCACTTGCATTTGTTGGCCGTTTGTGGTTTTAGGAGGCATTTTTTGTTCTGTATTTTGCCGTTTCTTTCTGAATGTTTTAAGAGTCTTACTATTAATGAAGTCAACGCAAAACATCAGAAAGACAATTTGTCAACAGTTGTTTTTGATGGGAGTGTGCACGAATGATGGTCATGATAGACCATCTGGGATAAGACCCCAGCACAAGATAACACTATCATCTGGGATGAGACCCCAGCACAAGATAACACTATCATCTGGGATGGGAACCCCAGCACAAGATAACACTATCACCTTGGATGGGACCCCAGCACAAGATAACACTATCACCTTGGATGGGAACCCAGCACAAGATAACACTATCACCTTGGATGGGAACCCAGCACAAGATAACACTATCACCTTGGATGGGAACCCAGCACAAGACAAGACTATCACTTGGGATGGGACCCCAGCACAAGATAACACTATCACCTTGGATGGGAACCCAGCACAAGATAACACTATCACCTTGGATGGGAACCCAGCACAAGACAACACTATCACCTGGGATGAGACCCCAGCACAAGATAACACTATCACCTGGGATGAGACCCCAGCACAAGATAACACTATCACCTTGGATGGGAACCCAGCACAAGATAACACTATCACCTTGGATGGGAACCCAGCACAAGATAACACTATCACCTTGGATGGGACCCCACAAGATAACTCTATTATATATATATTTACTATTTTACACTTTAAAGTGCACAAT